ACAGAGTTTCTTTTTCCTTGATGAATACTGGGTTTCAATTTCGATGAAGTTATGAGCCTAACAATCAATTGTTTGGTGCGTCGGAAGGCCATTAGCCTGTTAGGAAAGAATAGTAGCGAGCGCTAGGCCATTAGCAGCTTGTACTGGAAAAAAAGGGTCTTGTTGTCCTCAGGGTCACATAAATCTCTGTCGAGGTCAAATAATGCCTTTTAAAGTAAATCAGTTAAAGAAGTAGCAATTCGGAAACACCTAGAAATTAAATATACTCCGACGCAAGACCATGGAACTTCTCAGCGTTTGTGAGGATGCCTGAAGTTAGAGAACATGCGTTGATTTTTCCTAACTTCGCCGGATCTGGCTCAGTTTCTGCAGCTCGAACGTAGAGTAGAATCCCGAAGGCACGACGTTTCCCATGTAGATAAACACTTGCGTGCCTTGGTAACCCCTTTTTGTCCCGTTACAGCTGTAGCGCACGTTGTAGGTGCTGTAAATGCTGGTGAGTATTTTGGTTTTTACTAAGACGTCATCCACGTAAGCAGTCAACCAGACCTTCCTGAAAGGCTCATCTAAATCTCGGTTCAGTTGCCGCGGCAGTTCAACTTGGGTATGAATTAACCCGTAGGCACATAGTTATACTTAATTTTGGGGAGTGAGAGTGTGGAGCACCGCTTTGCGCTTGTCATTTGGGTGAACGGGTATTCACATGACGGGGTCAAATGTCGAGAGTAGGGTTTTGGTAGGTGGAGTTCGTCAAGTGATTCGCCAACATGAGCATCGGAACCTTGTACATCTTAGTAGTCTTTTGCAGAAGCCTACAGTTAGTGCACATGCAGCAACTTTCGGCCATTTGCTGCATCACCATCGGGTAATGCCCAGAATACGGGTCTACAGCTGAGCTGTGCCTTTTAAGCTAGTACTCCGTATTCTCGCTAAGCTCCTATTCATACTACGGGGCTGTCCGGTACCACGAAGCCTAAATATAACTTTGGGCTGCTCCAGGGACTAGCTTAAACACGGTGGGACAAATGAACATCAGGTTACCAGCCTGCCGGGAGCTCGTTAGTATTTATCATATCTGCGAACTCCTCCTTGTTATTCGCCCTTTCGGGGTGCTCTTAGCTAGAAGGTTCGATCCAGAACATTGGTAGAACTCCAGTTGCAGCGCGAGTAAAACGCACTGGTTGTACAAAGCAGGGTTTCTTACTGCATTGCTAAACCACCCCTATAAAAACTCTGCGTCATCTTGTTGAAGCATCGACTCTACCCCGCCTAAGAGTTGGTTCTTCCTAGAGCTTCCTGGCACGACAAATGGCACGTCGCACACAGGACGCTGCTAGGGTTGCATGCACGTCCTCCATTGACTTACCCACAGCATACCTAGGGCTATGCCATGCTGCAAAGGTCCTACATGGAAAGTCACGGCACTGCTGGTAGAGACCAAATCTAGTTCAGAGCAATAATTGAGTGTATTAGCGCCACCAATCATGGAGTTGTGCCGCCCTTCAGCAAACCTGACTCCTAGGGACAGTGATGACGAGTGAACAGGCAGACTAAATTGTGCCGCCTCGGACAAAGAACCCACTTCCTATTAGTGGCCAAGTCACTCTAACAGCTCTTGAGAAATTGACTTGCATGTTCATCGTCCTAAGTATGACTCATTGTGAGTTCTTAACGGCAACGGTATCCTCCGTGGCCCCCTTCACTGCGCCACAATCCGACTTGGGGGCTTGACGTTCATTTGATGGGCCTTCTTTGCTCGCCAAGTAGTTTTCTGCCGCTGGGCCAAGTCGGGTAATTCTGGTTCTTTGGCTCTTTGCATGAGCATGGAATTCTGAATATATGGCGCAACTTTGACACTACAAGCGTGTGCATTGTTGGAGCGGCTGCCTGGGTTTGCTCAGAAGCCCCGGTTCCCTCTAGCTTCCTGTCCTTGTACACTTTCGACAGTAGTTGAGGGCGTTTCGCATACTTCCGACATTCAGAGGCTCCAAATCCGGATTTGGCTCTTTTTCTTAGCCAAAGATGCAGAAGCCGCGCTAATGCGCCCCTGAAATTTCAAGAAATTCATCACCTGTAAACGAATGACATGTCGACAGTTTAAATTGTTAAGTCGCTGCCTGCCCTGGGACCATTTGATTGGACCCTGGCGACATGCCGCCTATAGAGCAGCTGGTCGCCTACGTTCATTTTTTTGCTACCCAAAGCTTTTTATATATCGGCATACCAATTTATTGCTAGATTCCCGTGGTAAGGCTGTCTTGGCTCTTCCAAGGCTTGCTGTTCAACTGATCAAAAACCAGCGAGTCAGGGCTTGGTTGGCAGCTTGAATTGCATTAGTACCTGTAGGCAGACGAGTTCTACATTGAAAAAAAACAATGAAGGGCTTAATTATTCAAGAAGCATGTAGCAATGAGCACTTGTTTCTCTTCATCTGGGAACACAACATCTCCACCGGGCTCCTGAATTTTTTCGTGTGCCTGTCCATTCTTAAAAGCCATCACACATTTTTGCACTGGAAACCGTCATCAAAGCATCTGCCAGCTCTCTATCGGGTGAAAAGTAGATTTTTCACCAGATATAAAGCTAGTGTGTTCCCATCGGCCTGCAGGCTGGCCCCTGCAGCCACAACAAGCGTTGTGCCATCGCAAAGTTCTATCGCTTGGGGTTTCTCTGGGTTCCTACGAAACAATACGTTGTTGAATTCTAAATAACGTTATGAAGGCTAGAGGACTGCTGTAGGGAAACGTTGCATCCAATTGTATCCACAGGCAGTCAGTGAGCTGGAGACAGCTGAGTGAACCATGTGTTGCAATGTGCCATTACGGCCATGTGTCCCTAGAAAGCCATTTTACTTACAACTCACTACAAACCTAATAAAGCGCTATGAAATGTTTTCGAAATAACTTCCGCCTTTCCCTGCCAGTGCCCCTTAGAGGGGAGAGGGAGAGCTAGGATGCTTGTAGCTGTACCATCGAAGTCCTCCAAGCATTCACGGCGGCTTGTACACAGCATCTAGCGCACACGCATACACATTGAGTCAGCTAGTATCGAGCTTAGACTACTCTGCAATAAGCAATACTTTTGGACAATTAAAGCAGTCGATGACTTCCTTGCTTCCTTTTAGCTAAGCATGACTAGTGTTATAGAAAGAGTTTTAGTATGACTACGCATTCTGCGCACTTTGCAAAATCCAGGCTACACGAACAATTAAATCAAATAATTTATTATTTTCCAGTTTTCAAAATAATCTAGCTGGTGCAGCGTAAAGCGGCTATGTCTAGCGTGGCCCAGTGCGCAAGCAGGAACACTGGATTCTGGGAACAATGTAGCAGTCGTTATCGATCTAATTGAAGTAGCGCGGCACACTACATCCTATATAAACATAACGTCAAGAAAATCAAAAAAATGGATCATTTATCCGGATCACAAAGTAACTTTGCGCCCAAATCCTTGCCCTGGTCAGCTTCTGGAACAGTCCTGTCCACCCACACTCCTCGATAAAAGCAGGTCTACAACTGATAAGTGAGGAGGGGCAAAGCGTGGGCCTACACACAGGGGTAAAATAATCCTATCACACTTCCGGTGTTGCTCTAAAAAGGATTTTGCGGAGGTGCTGTTGTGCATGCGGCCCCACACTCGACAGCGAATTTAACTTTCCGGCTTCGCGCTCGAGTACACCGAAAAATTAGAATGAACCACTGCTAAAGCTAAGCTAGGAAGCTTCTAGAAGGTTATCAAATGTGTTTACCACCATTTTAATGCTTTTATGTACAGAGGGAGAGGAGAGGAAAACGGACAGCCAATCAGAGCATCCAGCGGCTTGCAGCCACTGCATGCACATGCCCTCGATACCGACTGCAGCTTACCTTGGCTCCCATGGTTTTCCTTTAAGTGTTATACTTTTATCATTGCAGTCATAGCTGCTGCTTCCGAAAAGACCGGAATGTACCCCAAGAGCCTTGGCGTACAAAAGGCCCCTGTACGCCTGCGAGGGTATGCAGAACTCCCTCCGTGCATTGCGTTTAATCTCGGCAAAAGAAGAACCAAGCTTTTCATCAACAGCATCACGTTATTCCTCTCATTATCAGCGGCGCTTGTCTTTGGAGCTGCTCTCGTCGACGTTTTCTAACGAATGCTACTGCCTCCGTGAATTGCAGTATCAGGCCGCATTGTTTGTTTCCGTGCCTGCGGCGGTGTGTGGGGTCATCGAATGGACCCGCACTGCCCGACATCCTCCTGGATGCTCCCTATGGATAGTGCTGGTCTCAGCCAGCAGTGCTTAGGCAACCAACAGATCTGTGCAGTACAGTATAGCGGTTGCATTCCCTCAGCGTTCTGAGCCACTAGTTATGGGCTCATATTGATCGCATAGACCTGGTGAAGCAACATAACTGTTGCCTTTGGTCATATCCAGGCAAGAGAAGTTGAGGCGGGACGAGTCGTGCGGCTTCTCTCCCACCTCCAGGGTTTAGCAGCCTGTATCTGCTGCTCTTTGTTGCAGAGAAGCGAGGTCCTGTAGGCGTGCTTCGTTTAGTTATTTGTATATAGCTATGTGGGCTTGGGTCGCTGTTCCTCCCTGTTTGTTCTTGACGGGAGAGGGGTTGCTATTCTTCCTGCTGGGTGGCTTGACTCTGCGTCAACTGTTTAAGATGCATTCCTCCCTAAAGAGCCAGCCGTCTTTTACTGTGGCTGAAGGATGCGGGGAGAGGAGCCCTCCTTTGCTTTCCCGCGTCAGCCAAAGTGGCGGACAGACGCGCTTTTCCTTTATTTCGCTCCTCTGCGCCTCTTCTGTCTGTAAGGCCATCTTCCCGCATCCCCTTCCACCATTCAAGTTCTCGTGGCTCACCTAGCACACGTCTGTTGCTTTTGTGAATTTACATGATCCAATCGTTTTTGATTGGAGCAACGCCTTCCCATTTTTCACTTCGCTGTTGTGTGCCTGCTCAACAGCACGTGCCCTCTCGCTCTTTGGAACGGCTGTGCTATATCACCGCGTGGTGATGGAGGGGATAGGAGGTCCGCCTTCTTCTCAAGGGAATGAGGGATCAGCGCCTGCTGATCAGACATCCGCGGATAATGGGGAGTTGGCCCCGACCTTCAACTTCTCGCTCGACGATGAGTGGATCGTCTACTTGCTGGATTCGCTGCCAGCTCTCATTTTCTGCTGTGCAGTCTCCCTTGTGATCCTTTTCTGGGCAAGGATCTATTACGCAGCCAACCTTGTGGCATACCCGCTTTTCTCGTAAGTTCGAATTAATTAAAAAAGGATATGGCTCCACAGCTTTGCGGCAGATGATCCAGATACTTCAAGTGTACCGTTCAATGAGCGAACCGTTGCACGTTTGAGCCTCCTGTCTTTTAGCTCAACCGTAGTAGTTTTTTTTATTTTTTATTTATTATTTTTATTGGGGACTCGCTTCAATACAGCCTAATGCGTGGTTTTGGTCCAGTGGATGGTATTGCTGTCGCTTGCGGCTTTTCTTGTTTCAGGCGCATACATTCAGTGTCTTCATTGATTCTGTTCGCGTCCTACGCATTTTGCGTAGCTGTTGCTGTGCTCCTGCAAGCAAAACGGGCGGCTTGTGCCTTCCTTCAGGGCCTTGAGGCGCTGCTATTCGGAACGGAGGCACTTGCCTTTCTGTTCTATGGCATCAAGGCAAGCAAGCGGTAGTAATGCTCCTTGCATGCTCGCAAGACCCTTAGAAGTGCAGCAGCTAAGTGCATGACCCCGTACGAAAGCATTGCTCCGCTGTTGCATGCAATTGGCTTTAGCAGGATGTGTAGAGACATTCCCGTGCATCTTCTGGTGAGGCTTGGTGTACAGGTGGCGAAGAAGGTGTCAGAAAGAGGAAAATCGGCCCCAAGAAAGAGCAGTATTGTCCGAAGAGTACGCAAGGCACACCTTTCTGTGTACTTTAGTTGGTTGCTCCTGGCTTTTTTACAACGTGTATTCCTTCTGCTACCCATTTCATGTGGAGTTACAATGTTTGTATGATGGGTATGAGTGGAGTCGAGCCGCTTATCATGCGCAACCGGCATGCCTTGGCTAGGGGTATGTTGGAAAGCGTTACTTTTCGGAGCTTCTTGAACACTGGAGAGAAAGCATTTCCGTGTATGATCCGCTGTTTCTTTTGACCAAGAACACTCCCAGTGGCTATTATCTGGCCCGTAGAGCTTCTCAAGGTTACACAGAAGATTGAATACACATGATGGGGAAGCTCACTATGCACGCTTTTCTTCTTCAGGTCATTTTCTTGTCGATGATTTGCCCGATTCTTTTTGGCTTGCGGTGCTTCATGGCATTTGAGGGCGCCACACCCCCATTGCATCCCCTTCACGCCTCCCCCCAAGGAACTGTTCCTCCTCTCATTCTCGCTGGAAAGGTGCGGGCAGTTAAAGGACTGAAAAGCATACGTATCATAGATATTATAATAGCCAGGAACGGTTTCGACTGTATTTTGGACGGTTTAATCGATTCCTCTGGCTGTTCAGTCGGTAAAGGAGCATAATAATGTCTTTCTTACGTCGTGTAGCCGGGAGTGGCGCTCTTTTTTTCCACTCCGTAGGAGTTCGTGCAGCTGCCGTCACCAGTCTAGTATGTACCAAGCGTGCCTTCTGTGTTCCAAAATAGTGAATATAGACATCCCAGCTGGCTGCGATGCCTAATCTCTTGCTCCTCTTGCATGACTGCCGAGCAGGGACCAAGAATACGACTTTCAAGAGTTTTGTTTATTCGTAATGTATGATGGATTGAATTCAGATATATTTTATGACAGAATGGGTCCCTACTCTTTTGATTCTTCTCACTTTTTGGCACCGGAAAGGTACAAGCGCTAGGGGACCACAGCGTCGCCGCCCACCACTTGCAGCCGATGCTGACGACGAAGCTGCGGGCGTGAGTTGCATTCCGAATTGCATTGAGGAGCGTGCAAGCCAACATTAGTGCTAGAAAATCTTCGCAAATGCGGGGACTGGCACGCGGATTACTATACAGGGACCACCAGATGATGAGAGTGAACTAGGATGCCGTTGGCCACTTTTTGTGCTTCATAGTAATTTTAAAAATGTGTACTTTGCGAGCTGCACACAGATATATCTGGATTTAGCCAGTACGGGCTTTGTGGTCCTGATTTGGGCTTATAATGGCGAGCTTGAGAGAATGTGTTGTGCACGTATGCTTGTGCAGGGGAGCTTCGACTCAGCAATAATGGCTCCTCTGATGCAGCAGAACGTATACCCGTTTACCCCTTCTCCACCTCACCCTCAGGCGCACGACCAGATTGCCCACGGCCCTGTAAGACTAAGCAAGCATTTTGACGCAGCAGTCTCCGATAACGTCGATTCGCGGTTTCGCATTAGTTGAAGTGCAGTATCCATTATGTTTTGGGGTGTGTCACAGTACCTGCAAGGTAAAGCGGCACTTTTGCATGGATTGTAAATATTAATTTGTCTGGGTTCTAGTAGTGCGCTCTTGAGTGTCTTTATTTTGTTCAGGCTATGCCTAGCGAGGTGTATCCGCAGCTCATGCATTCACAGGTTCCTTACAGAGACTCTTTTTCGAGTTACGGACAGACGGCTTCACCAAGTGGTTTATACAACCCACAGTATGCCGAATCAAGGCAGCGCCAGTAAGCTGGCGCGAGCTAGTGGCAATTGGAAGCCGACTTGCACATATCATGGCTGTTCAGGGTTTCCTGTACGAGCTCGGGCGGTTGTGTATAATCCATCCGCAGGTGTGCTACCTCCGTAGTCCAATTGCGTAGTACCATTAGTGCGCTGGAATGAGGCCAGCTTACAGGCTGCCAAGTGCATGCAGTGCCATCTTTGTGGTCCGTCATTGAACGGGTAAAATTGTGGGATTGGTGGCCTTTCCCATTACCAGGCCGATCCATGGAGCTCTTGCACTAATTTAAAGAGGCCAAATTGCGGAGACTTTCTCCCAGGACGTCCTGCATGGCACTACACGCACTTTTGTGGTTTTGCTGGCTATCGGAACGGCAAGTGTTATGGTTGAAGTGCACACTTTCACTTGGTAGTGCGCGCAAAGTTGATTTTCTTAATTGAGTGAAAATCATACTTCTGCGTATATGCCAATGAAGGTAGTCGTCTGGTCTGCTGAGAATTGCTGGACTGGAGCTGAGCTACTGTGTGAACCCACCTGCTTAGGATAGCAACGAATTTCCCACGTACAGACACTAGAGTCAGCTAGCGACCTGAGGTCTCTTACTTTGCTGCCTCGTGCATTTTCCAATCTCTAAATATATTTCTACGTCAGGAAAGCACTCACCGAAGCAGGTAATGCTGCAAGGCAAATGTGCTGATACAGGAACGTGGGAGTAACAGCAGTACTTCACCAAGGCGTATTAAAAATGCAAACGGCCACGAGTTCACAATTTAGCATTGTGTTCACTCGGTGGTGTCGTAATTGTGCTGCGCATTCCAACACCCTCGGAGCGTCCGTGTTTGCTTTCGTACACTTTATGCATATTATAGTAGTGTGCTTGAATAGAGGCTAGACGCCTTAAGAAGATTACGCAACACCACAAAAATTACCGTTGGGTTGTAAAAAAATTCACTACAAAGAAAATGAGATGACTTAGAACGCAGTATACATCAAGCGTTCTTCGAAGTGTATCCATGCGGGGTATATTCTGTTCCGCCTTCCCCCCGTCAGGTGCGCAGCGCTTGCTTTAGACACGTGTTAAATTCCTCACGTTGCTCTTCAGATGCGAAGAACAACGTGAGAAGCGCGAATCCGCCAGGCAAATCTGAGTCACTGCGAACCGTGAGAACTGCTGAGGATTCACCATGGGCAGTTCGAGAGAATGAATCGGGAGGCTGCGTGCTGCGGTCATGCAGTTGTAATGTGCACTGAGGCGTAGTGGCAGCGTTGGAGGGCGATTCGACTGTCCAGGGGCCCACTCTGTCCTTGGCCAATTCTTTTGGGGACCCTTGCGGAGCGTCTTGCTCCGTGCACTGCGGCAAGTCTTGGGGAGTCACCACTTTTGCATCGGCAGCAACCGTCACCGCCGCAGGGGGTTTAAATGTGCGGAGGCCTCCGAGCCCCAGTCGCTCACTAAAAGAGGCGGAATACTTGCTACTGCGTTTTTTCCCCATGAGCCACCAGCAATCGGAATGGAAGCCACGGTATAGAGCGCTAGTAGGAACGCACAGGATTACCGGGTACTCACATGCCACCGAAGACAGTGAGGCCGATGACCCGAGGTAGCATCGTGTTCGACTACAGAGAAACGGCACTGTAGAGTCTTCCTGAAGGATTGTTTGAATCGTTCTCAGGATTTCTAGAGGCCCCTTAGGTGCAGACAGCGTGGACCTCGCCTCAAATTCTCGTTGATCTCGCAGGGTTAGCGTCGATCGCGACAGCTTTCCCGCCGCCACATTGGAATCGCAGTGTAAAGAGTCAGATCCAATAGGAATTTGGAGTTCCTCGGTCACCCCTCCAGGTCCGCACCAGGTTACGTTCAAGCGTAGAGGCGCAGATGCTTCCTTGGAGACGGATGACCGCACTGGAGCTGCTGCCAGTCTCAATAGGGCTCTCTGGCCCAGTTGGAAGCCATTTAATGCCTTTTTCAACACCAGCCCAGCAGGGAGCTGGAGAACAATTCTTGCAGTCATAAAGCTGCTTTTCATGGCATTGGGAACTTCGCGAATGCGCACTTTCACCATGTTGTGTTTCCACTTAAGCAGCGAATTCTCCCAAGAAGGAACGCCCGAAGGAGATGAATGCAATCCCTCGGCGGGGCGGAATCGAATGTCTTCTGCAGACTGGAGATGGATAAAAAACAAAACAGGAGGAAGCGGCTTTCACTACGATGGTCCATTGCTCCGTTGGGAGTGGGCAGTATATAATGTGGTAAGCAAGCAATACGCCAACGACTAACCTATTTGGTGGGAACTGGAAGAGATATAGGCGATGAGTCAAATCAACACAGAATGATGTTCTATGGAATGATGCAGTGTCACTCCAATGCTCACTTCTTCCTAGTGATAGCTCCCCGAGAACCCATCACGAATTTATTGCTCACAGATATATAAATAGTGGTAAGAATGAGAAAATGGTAATAATGCGTAATCCAAACATAGAGTCCTCACCTTGGGTGTAGCCGCTCCACGATCGACGAGGATATCCGCAAATGTAAAGGTCCATAAATACTCAAAAGCCACGTGCTTATCGATCGCGCGCTGCATGACGGATGGGGCTGGGGGGGTTGCAAGCCAATAAGAAAGCACCAACAACGAGATGGAGTAAGAGACAGCTGCTCCGAATGCAAGAGCCTCTGGAAAACATGCATTCACAAGGCATGCAGCAGAACAGCAATACGCCCAAAAATCCTCGTTTGCTTTGCAAGGCATCAGCAAGAGAGCATTCTACAGCATATCTGCCGGAGTCACTACGCCCAATATAAGTTCACACTTTGAATAGCTCGTAGATAACGTCATAGAACTTTGCTGGTTCCCTTGCTCCTAGTGAAGTAGGCTACAGCATCACAAAAGAGCCCATCAGAAACCCACTCGAACTTGATAGGTGTATACAACACAAGCATCAGCACACACTAACCTCTAGCGTGAAACGGCATCCGGTGCTTCTCTTCGGCGGTACGGGCAGTGCATGCAAGTGCGCTGATGAGAGCAGCCCCCACAAGGCCGACCGAGCAATTCGCCAAAATGAAGCGCCTTTCCAGGTTGCGACTCACGTCCAGGCAGGGAGAGCCTTGAGTTATCAAATCTGAAGAAAACACCGTGCGGCGGCAAGAATGGGATAGACTTGCGTTTGTTTGCAAACCATAGAGAATCAACGGCTGGAAGTTTGAAACAGCTGTGTTCGGGGTTCGCAGTGCATATTTTTGCATCCCGCCCAGCAAAAATCACCAGCACACTGAAACTGCATTCGTCGGTCACATCGAGGAGTCGATAGTACTAGGAACTGCATTCATAGAGCCATCAGCTGGACTTGTGTCAGCCTACCGACGAAGGAGTAGCACGTCATTTGCAGCTGCTTGCTGCGCTCCCCCAGACCCTCAAAGGACGGGTCGCAGGGATCTGGAGCAGGCCTTAGCCGCTTCAGCTGCACAGGTCAAAGGAAAAAAATAAGAGGCTTTTGGGATGCTGAATGCACTAATCAGGGGCTGATGCTTCTGGAAAGAATGCGTGGGAATGAAAAAGGTTTTGCCCCGCGGTGCATGCGCATTGATATCGCCACACCAGAGCAAGTAGCCAAGCACATGCTACAGACGGCAAGAAAAAAAGAGATCCTCTCTTTCAGCCCCTTTCCCGTCTCCGCAAAAAGCGCGAGGCAAACGCCTTACCGATGTTAGCAACTGCTCACGAAGATCTAAATCGATGGCATACTTGAGTGCTCTCCACTTGAAGAGGGCGGTCGTGAGCTGAATAGCCCCTAGACACAGAAAGAGGATTAAGGAAGTGGCGATGGCGCAGCCGACAAGAAACTCCGCGTTCCTTTTCTCTTCGAATAGATATACAACAACCAGAAGGGCCCACACTGCCAAAAGTAGAGAGGCGAAAAGCACTGCGTGCATCCCTGGGCCGTATGCGCATCTGAGGATCAAGGAACAAGACCACGCAATGAAATCGGCATTGCAGGAATCCATGAAGCTATGATCATGCCGGAGCTCGAATCGAGCATCCCTCCTTTCTCTCAGGAAGGGGTACCAGCGGACTGTGATTATAATGTAAGTGCCGAAAAGCTCGTGCCTGACTCACCCCGCGAGTGCTTGGCTAATGGCTCCAAATACTTCCATATGGCCACCCGCTTTTGCTGGGGATGTGCGACATTTATCAGAATCCTCAGTGGATTTGCAAGGCTCCGACAAATCGATTTCATACAGGGACCCACTGCCGCGTCGGTCTTTCTCAGGACCGTCCCCGCCGTTCGCAACATCTTCATAGGCACTCAGAGTACTACTCTCTTGCCAAGTATCAGCCTCAAGCAATGTTTGCGCGAAACGCCATTCACTGCCTGGCGACTGTCTTATGGGCCCTCCTGGGGATCTTTGTTGTGTTGCCACAACGGCGAGAGGAGCTGCCGTGTGTGCAGACGGCAGCTGCCGATTACGGTGGACACTTTCATTCTCGGGGTCTCCAAACAAAGTGCTTGCTGTACTCTCACGACCTGATTTGGTTGCTTTATCTGTCCTGCCTCCCTGGATCCACGCCTCACTAGCTGCAGCCCTTCCCTCGCGCGCCTTTGCTGCGTCATCGTCTTGTAGGATTCTCTGCCTCTTGCGCGATGCCTAAAGAAAAACAGATACATGTCAGCTGTACCAAACGCACTAGGCTCTTCACGGAACTCTGTACTTCTCTTTTTGTGGAAGACTCTGACGTGAAGTGCAATAGATGTTTGAAGAAGGGCCGCAGCTAAGGGCCTGTCTGCATAGAGAGGTCTCGCCGCTTGTGACACCTGGCTGCGAGACTCTGCATGGGTATATCGAGTTCGGAAGGGTTCCTTAAAATTGGCTAGCACATGTGTTGCTGCATACTGAGCGCCTGTCACTCGGTCCTGTGTCCAAAGACCTTCGCGGAACGCTCTCGAGCGGCTTCGGATCTTCCCCCTGGATTGAGGGGAGCGACGATAGGCGATTTTCCAAAGTTGCACCGAAGCGGGCGTCACTGATGATGCGGACATCTGCGGCGGAGTTTCCACCAGCATGAGGACCTGCTGGATATTCCGAGTGACCAATCGACAACAACCTGGTGCTGCTGCTGCTACACATGCGCGCGTGCTCCCAGGCCACCTCTTGCTGGCAGCCTGGAGAAGCTGGTGGCTCCGACGGCGGCTGATCTGATACCTGCTGTGACGCTTTGCCTCGGGCTTGCGAAGCAGCCTGCTGTTCTTCCTTACTCCCCCCCACTTCCTCCAGAGTCGACTCTTCCTGTGGCCTTGCCTCCCCATGACACACGGTGGAGGCTTCTTCTTCGCCATTAACGGGGGATGGCACTGCGCTGCTGGCAAAGTCATCTGACGTCGAGTAACGCACCTCCCACTCTGCAGGATCTCCTAGCCTCAGCATCGTAAACGCCCCCAGGTTCTCACCCACCATGAGCTGCGGAAGCGGCGGTACAGAATGCTCCTCAACACCGGTAGTAGCGTCATTCAGGGGCTCTTCAGCAGCGCCACAAGTAGCAACGGCATCACCAGGCTCCAGACCGTCGTCTTCGTCATGAGGCTGTGTCGGGGTCACCTCTAAGAATTCTACCATGCGATTCAGTCCATGAGAACCTCTGTCGATATCAAAAAACTCACTCTGCTCGCTACCATCATCCGAAGGCGTCTGTCCGCCAAATCCATCTCGTAAACTCGGGTGCACTCCTTCAGAGTGCCCCCATATAGCGTCAAAGGCACCGGGAACATCTCCAGCGTCACCCCCCGCAGCCGCCTTGTACACCCCACCGAATGATAGCTCCTCAGACTTCACTGCTTTCGAAATCGAAGTCGCAGGACTCTTGGGGTCGTTCGAGGGAAAGTTGTCATTGTCAACGGATGAGCTAACACATATCATGCCAGGCCAAGCGGACTCCTTGGCGAAGCGATCCCACTCTCGATCGTCTTCCCAGATGGCAGGCTCTAGTGCCGCATCACTTGCATCCACAGTGCACGGTGAAGCCGTTTGGGCCTGGGCTTCCTCGTTAGAGCGCATGCTTTCCTCTATGACTACTTCCTGCACCTCCCAGTCGTGCTGTCGCACAATGTTTTCCAGGACAGTCGAGCGCTGGCGCCTCTTCGACTTCCCGGGGGGTGCGTCAACGCCCTTCGCCTGTGTTGCAGAGGCATCCCCCATTTCTGTCAGGCGAAAGGGACTCGTCGCCTTTAGCTGCTCCTGAAGGCGGGCCTTTTGTGCATGCGATTCCGCAGCCTCCAGTGAAAAAAGCGTTGCAATGTGTCGCCTTTCACCCCTAACGAGAGAACGCACAAAACGCAGAAGCGTCTTGACGATTCATAAAACTCGTGCATTCCATTAGATGCCCCGACCTACGGCCCGAATACTTGCGCAACCAACTTTGTGCGGCTACTTCAAGGAAGGGCTGTACCCCATTCCTACCTTACTGAGACCTGAGCATCGTCTTCTATCGCGTGCTGCAAAGCTGGTACTGGCCGCTCCTCTTCCTTGGCTGCGCCCAAACGCAGCGGGGGGATGTAAAGATAATGCTCAGGTATCAGTCCATTCCTCTGTGACTCCAAGTTGCTATCTGGCGACCGACGGGGAGATGCTTGCGAAGATGTGTAGCTCACACACGGCGATAAAGCTGCATCAAAAATAAACAGCATTTTTCGCCACTACAGTGCTTGCAAATGCCGAGAGAGCCACAGCGTCCAGGAATATCTATTCGAGGTGCTTCAGTTGCTCCCAATCTAGGCCGTGGCAGCCGGTCCACAATGCGCAAGTCTGCCCTCAGCTATTCACCACTCCCGCAGTCCCCTCTGTGTCTCTCAATTCCGTTTCTCGAAACACTATGCAACATTGCAGAAAACGACCTGGACTTTCGCTGGAGACCAATGCAAGACGAATACGGTATCCCTTCCTGATTGCTCTCCCAAATGGGCAACTGCCTACTGTAAATCTTTTAAGGACTTGGCACACGTCATACCTTCATGGGGGTCGTCTGGCACCACAGAAACAGACACAGATTCTTCCTGGTCAGACGGCGAATGGTCAACCCTCGGAAGTGGACGTCCCCGCCCGAAGACGTCCGTGTCTTCGGTTTCCGATGTGAAGTGTGAGTCTGCGAGGCCTAACAAAATCTTTTCAAATGTTGGTGGTGGGAACTGGCGAGGAGACATGACACGGCGTGGCAAACGCTGTGAGCCACTGCGACTGGAATGCCTAGCCTGTTTTGTTTTTACTGGTGACAACAGAGCTTCCGTTTTCCCATGCCCTGCCGGCGGCTCTTTGTGGGCCTTGCGCCTCTGGCGGCTACTGGAACGGCCTCGCTCTTCGCTGCATGCATCTCTTTCGGACTTTTCATATCTCGCACGGGAGCGAGATAGAATGCTGTACTCGGGGGAGATATTCTGCGCGTCTTGTCTTAGGTGCGAAAGACTGCTGCCATTCGGGGTCCTATGGCTAGCATAGGAGCTTCGAGTGAGCCCATCGGTGCCATCGAGCCAAGCGCGAGCGGTTACGATCGGGCTGCTCACTCGCCTTCTGTCAGAAAGCTGTGAAACTACGCTAGGACTACGGGAGCACTGAGAAGGGGTCCTGGAGGAGCGCTGGGAGAGCAGTCTCATAAAGGCAGGTGACGTTGGGCAACGTTCGGCGCTAGCCAAGTGCTTATCAGTCACAGCGAAACGCCCTTCATTATCAGCAGATCTGCCACTGTGTCCATCCCGTCCAATGGCAGAGCTATCCAACCGGGGTGCAGCTCCGCGAAAAGTATCCGCACTGGAATGAGAATGGCGCAGCCGGGTGCCTGAATCTGTATCCCGTGCAGCATTAAAAGGTCGCTTGTCCATGATGCAAAAAACTTTCAACTTCAGCGTCCAGGGCGATTAAACAACCTCATATGTTGAAAAGACCCTTCCGTTTGACTTGAGTGGGCTGCTACACTGACTGCTTCTATCGCGCGGAGGAGGCAAATCTCCCGACGTGAAAGATGTAGCCCTGCAACGGTTTGACGCGAGTGTCGAAACTGTGGTACTTTCAACCACCCAACTTGCAAATCCAGGAAGGTACACAACACGAAATGGGAAAAGGGTCAAAAAGTGTCAAAGGGAGGTGGTTTCGGCTGCTGCTCAAAGGGCATGGGTTTCAGATGCCCAAAGCGCTGAAATCAGAACCTGCTGCTGTGACTTTTTAAGCTGTGAAGAACCTTGCTACTTTGAAATTCCTTGCAGTTGCAACTTGGGGACAGATGGCTTTAGGTGAGGGAATGAGTCCACTGAGGGGACGCAGATGGCTGTCTAAAGGAAACAGCCGAAGAAAACGCAAGCCGAATACAAATAAAATTTAAATTAAGATATAGAAGGTGTTGAAGTGCCAAAGGTTCACAGTAATTCTGTACAAATGGCAGAAAGATACCACCGGTCAATTAGCCGCTGGCCTCCGGCCAGCCCCCGGACATTGTGGTCAAAAACTGCGTCCTCAGTAGAGAATACAAGTCAGTAAGACGGTAAAGTAATATTGAATGTGTATCTTAAATACACATTGTCAAGATTAAAATGAGGGATGCTCTCTGACTACTAACAGACAACCTCCGGAGCAATGTCGTTGGGTCTCTGTTGTAGCCATAGGGCGTTTGCGGGGGCCTGCAACCTCAGTCCGAAGAAGTCAGCCGAGCATAGCTGCAGCAAATATAGGCTTTTTCTAAGATACATCAACGAGTAAATTACTTTGCACGTGTTGACACATGTGCATGACAGGAACTTTCAAGGAACTCGGCGGCTGTCCCCAAATGGGGCGGACCACTTAGATGATAACCTTAGGACAATCGAGTGCTGGTAATTTGTTGCAACTGCAAAATGTCGAAAATCCTGGCCCTATCACAGAGCCTCGACCAAGCAGGGGACATTGCTGCAGTCAGGACTCCAACTGCCCAGGACAGCGCAGAAGCCAAGCACCCACCGGATCTCGGCCTGGGCATCAACACTGTAGAGGAACAGGTTAGAACGTTGATGCGGATCTTGTTGTGTACATGGAAATCCTCCTATATAGTGCCTTCAAATGTCGCTCCTCAGGTCTCTTAACCCGTGTTTGTGCCGTCGCGTGTACATATACGTGTATTTGTGCGAATGTTTGCTTGTGGCTCTACAGCTCGAACAACTGACTCAGCTGGTACAGAAGCTCACTGCACGCATTGCCAGTGAAGAGGACTTTCGAGAACTATTGAGAGCTCAGCTCGATGAGGCATACGCGGCAAGCCATTTCGACACCTGGATCTATCAAGAATTTGCCTACTGTGCACTTACAACCTTGCAGTCTGTTACAACGCAGCTTTCGTTTCGACAGCAGCCAACAATTGATATTACCTAGGTACCCTCAGCTTCTCAAGACTCTTTGATTATTGCTAGCCTCACTGCTCTCTGCCTGGTTCCGCAGCAATTGGCCAATGCCCGGACAGAGCAACCGTCAGTGGTCCTTGATAAAACTCGTCATCCACCAGACGAAATCCCGTAAGGACGCTGACATACTCGCTATTTAATCAGCTAATTCATGCATTCTGCATAGTGCAGCAAGCTACCTCTGTCAGGAAGAAATACTGATTTTCGGTTCTCCATTAATGTGACCACAGGTGGCGCGAAGCAACCACCGATCAGCTCACGAAGGTACCTTCTTCCATTCATGTGTCCCATTCCCCTTAGAGCTCATATATTATTACAAATTACTGTGATCAAAGGTGTTTAAGTAAAGTTTAAGATCCTCTTGCTATCCTATTTGTCGTGGCCTGTTTTGGAGCTCAGGTTACTAGGACAGCAGAGGAACTCCAATATTTACTGGACCAAGAACGAGCAAGGAACGAAGAAATGCGTATGCAATACGAGCGTCAGCTGAAGGTAATTCGAAATGGTATTCAAAAGGAAAAGCGCGACCTGAAACAATCACTGGTGCAGCAAGTTGACTTCATTATCCGCAAGTACAGAAGTCTGGCCACTGAAGCCGTCGCAGCAGCACGTCAGGAGCGTCAAAAAGTACAAACAGAACGCATCAAAGCCCGTGAACTTGCTGAAACAGCTTGCCGTAACTTTGAGAAAGATATTAAGGAGAGGACAAAGGTCAGTGGAGTGTAGTGTACCGCACTTTTCATATTCACATCGGTCAGAGATGTATCAAAAGAGAGATATGGGCAAGTCCGGCCCCCCACCCTCGGGCACAAGCAACTAACTTTGTGCTCAGAAAGCGCTGGAAGAGTATCGCCAGCTCGCTCAAGAAGCCCACAAAGCAGCCCAAGCCGAGAGGGAGGAACTTATGCAGAAGTGGTAGGTTAGCTATTTGTATGCAGAGCTTGGTTCAATAATAATAAGCATATTGTTGCCTAAGCTAAAAATGCGCATTCTTTAGTAATTTACTTACAATTCGCTTTGCAGCACGGACCTCGAGAAATCAATGATAAGCAAACGTCAACAACTCGACACTCTGGTTATTCGGGTCAGTTCTGAAGTCTTTCATACTTTGCTAAAAGCAGGCGGCAATAAAGCAATGAATGCGTCGTGAAGTAATACCTACTAAAAGGCTCTAAGCAGAGAATAAGCCAGCCTGCAGCGTAACAAGAAACTCAGACATGTTCCTACCTTCTATTCGAAGATTTGATATTCAGGAGGCAGAGAAGAGAGTCCACTGTTACAGACTGAGCCATCAGAACATGAAAGACCAGCTTGAACGTGAAAGGAGGCAGTTCGCACTGATGATGGGCGAAATCGCAAACAAGGTATGATATGGTCACTAGTGCCCTGGTGGAGCGCAAATGTCTTTCGAAGCCGTTTTTGAAGCAGTCATTTAATGAGGCTCGTTTGCCGATTCTAATCGATACCCCTTCTGAGGGAAACCTGCTTCAGCACCATGAATTTAGAAAGATATCATTTATTTAATTTATTGTGCTCCTTGAGCACTTGAAGGAAAGCAAAAACGATGATATACATAGATATTACCATAGCATTACAAGCTGAGCAAAAATAACAGTGCGGCACCGAATGACATGCTCAGGTTGAGAAGGAGTGCAGTGACTATGACTCCGCCATGATTAAGGCCGTAGTGGTGTTCTGCAAAACGAAGGGTGTGGATATCGATGAAACTACACTTCGTCAACAGCTGGGTAACATTCGTATCCAAGGGTTGAAGGATGGCAGCCTAAGTTCTGAGGTACGCTAATAACAGTTCATTTGCGGTCTCGTGCGACACGGGCATAGTATAGAAAAAGTTGATGGATCTTGTAGAGTCCGGACAGGTCTCAAGGAATGCCGTGCAGCATTTGTATTGCTTTGGTGAAGCTCTATGTATATGTATGCAGCGGCCTGATCCTCGTCCACTAACTGTCAAATACGGCTTTCAAGCAGTGACTCCCGGGGGTGCCAATTGATGCACAACCGCATCCACGCTGGGCAGCAACTGTGGGCAATTTAGGCCTTCAGCATTTGATAGGGCAGAATCCCCCAGAAGAAAATTCAATTTCATACTGAGCGTATTCTCCCTGTTGCCGGTATCAGCTTCGTGCGCTCGTGTCAATAACCGGGCACGGTTTATAAGCAACCTAAGCCACATCCTACTTCTTCAGTACACACACGCCGTTCAAAAATGATATTGGTGTATATCTAAACACACTACAGAGTCGGATCATTACGCCCACTGGCAAGCGAGTGGCACGTGCTGGTTCAGTAAATGAGCAGTCTAGCAATTCTCCTTAGTTAAGATCTGTCACTGCCCTGTGATCTGCATCTTGCAGAAGTACATGGGCCCGAAATTCGACATGTCTGGAAGCATTGCAAAGCCGTGCTTTAACTTTTCAATAGAAAATACCGCGGATTTTGAATGGCCAACAGATGGCAAATCTGTTGTTCGAGGTTGCACCGCCGCCACTCTATCAAGAAGTCTTACTTCAGGAGGCCACTCCCCACTAAATAGGGGAAGTATCTTGACGTTGACTTTCGCTTTCTTGAGGAATTTCTCAATAACCTGCAAGGGTGAATCGAGAGCAGTACCAAGCTTGCCTCACCCAGCGTTCTGCACGGATTTCCCCAACAGCCCGAAAATGCTGACAAATCTCGCCGAAAAGGGACGAAAGAACGGTACTTCCCACTATCTAGTACAAAGTCGTTTCGCTGCGCTGAACCTACTGCGTCATTCTCAGCTTCAGACAATGAGCAAGTTGTGTAAAGCAGAATGCCATTCCTTTTTAAAAGCTTTGAAGCAATAAGGAGCATCTTTAGCTGGCGCTCTGCGTGCGCCTTAGGTGTGCCTGATGAGCCACACAATCATCGAGGCTGCATATAATTGAGAACTGTTAGCGCACAATGTGCCCCAGAGTGCCTGATTCATCCCTGACGGCCAGTTCGTTTGTAATAAGTTAGTAGATGCATCTTACTTGGTGACCAGTTTGCAATCGCTGATCCTCCTTTATGCAAAAGGTGTCTGTCCGAGGAGCACGGCGCGTCCAGAAGAATCCTATCATATGGCGCGAAACGTTCTGTATGCAAACACGGGCTCGTACTATGGGGAAAATTAGTGGATAAGGACTACTAGCATTTAAAGAATGGAAGGTCTATGAATTCTACTGGGCTACACACTAACTCGATTACCACTGAACACTGCATTTGTTTGGGATAGATTGTGCTGCGTCGAATGGCGTTGGGCGTGAGTTCAAGTTACCGAATGAGCCACCCTTGCAGACATCCGCACAGCTGAACTGGAGGCGCTGCCTGTAGGCATAGGTAATTCAAACGTAATATTGGCATATTTTTTTCCGCTGGACTAATCATGCACAGAGGAGTACGCTGGGCGAACTGCTCCCATATTTTATGTGCAAGCGTGTATAGCTCACCCAGCCGTTGCGTATTCTGGCAAAAACTTGGACATTGTGGCCTGAAGTCTGAGCGAACAGCAGTTATCGACAGTCCATCGACCTGGATCGATGCGATACTTCCCCTAGTGAAGGAGGACAAGGAAGCTACTGATAAATACATTGCGCACCGCGCCAATCTATCCCGACTTGCGTCGTTGCATACTAAAAGCCCGCCTTGGTCGTCCTCGTCATCTTCAGAACTTCTGATGTGGTACGGCATGCTTGGACTTCCGATGGCATAGTATGGAACTCTTGCTACTGTAATCATGCATGATATTATCAGCGATTTGCCTCCAGGTGCCTGTTCGCAGCCGTATCCAGCGTCTATACAAAGCGACCCCACCATGTCAAACTAATCTTCGACTCACATTTCACATGGATCAGCATGATTTTAGTTGTCGCAACATGAAGAGCATACAAGGAATCTCTTACCGCGCACATGTCAAGCACCACTTCTCCCGGCTGCGCCCCAAGGGCATACGCTGCAAGAGCAGATGCCCCATCTGCAGAATCGCATATCGAAGGCAAGAAGGAAACAGCTTATGTGCAAATACAGTACAGAGATCACTCTAGTCAGCCTCCAAGAAGGCAACGATGCCCTAAACCGTCAGTTCAACTTGGTGGAAGGCGTAATAGCTGTTACAGAGTTACCCAGAAAATACGTCTTCTCCCTCGCCTCCTCTATGACATGGTCATCATCAACAATCTGTACCTGCTTATTAAGGTCCCTATTTGCGGGACCCTGGCCGCTGGCCCCAGGATGTTCACAGTTGTTGCACGGGAAATTAGTGGCCACGGCATGCACAGTAGACCTGCCTGCATCGCTTGCTCCAATTGTATTGCTCTCTACAAGTGCTGTACTAGTGGGCAAAGCCGAGCTGCTTGGTGCGCTGCTCTCATTGTCCATTCGTAGCTCTGCATTGCTATCGTGGATGAAGCAGTTGGGGATTACGCAAGGCAGAAACCGCGATTTCCTCTGAAGATATCGCAGCGCACTGTGAGAAATGGTCGGTGCCACAAATGCAATTTGGGTAGGAACGTCCGCAAGAGCATTAAGAAGAACATTCCAGCGGTCCCTCCCATACTGCTTGCAGTAAGTTGCGCTCCAACTTGCACCTCCCCGCACGCTCATACTGCCGAGACGAAGAATGGTTATGAAAGAAAATTCTTGTATATGTTTACCAGTGCCTGCAAATCTTCTCAAACAAGCGTCATCTAACGAGCTAGAACCCCTAACACAGCGGCTTGACTTAGTTCGGAAAGTTGGATCGATACAAACCCCCGTCTAACCCGATTGGCCCACATGGATCTGTGGAAGGCTGCATGACACACGAACACATCTTTAACCGGCAATCTCCTAATGATGTAGGTAACAGAAAATTTAAAGAATATGTCATTCTCACCACCATCCGAAGTATGGCTTGCAGTCGCCTTGCCAGTAACAGTTGGCATGCAACAGTCCGTTGCCAGCAGCCGCTTCATCCTCAGACTCTTCTTGGCACTAACTGGCGCAAATCTCTAACCAAACTGCATAGACTTAGGTATTTTTTGGAGATTATATGAACTAACATTGTTTTTGTGTTCGTAGTAGGAGCCCAGTACGTCTCAGCATGGTGGAGCCTACCTAGGCAACGACTGCCTCAGAGCTGGGTGCCGCATTCCAGTAGAGACCAATTGGGGTTTGACCCACCTTCTTCTTACGACAGCATTGATCTTCTCATTTATTCACTGCACTTTTGAACTTGATTCAAGTTCGATGCTGAATACCACATGAAATTCCTCCCAGTGACCCAGCCCGCCAGCATGCCACGGAGATTGTTTGAGTGCAGACACTGGCACTTTTAAGTTTACAGAGCAGTCCTGTCCTCTGCTTGCCATAAAGAAGTATTTACTCTGAGAATTTACTGCTAGCGCCTTCGATAGCGTTTGTGTACAAGGCCTTCGAGCTTGCTAGCTCAAGAACAAATTATGAAGCATACGGCATTCCCGTCCTTCCTATGCAGTTGTCTTCAAGCTGCCCTACTGTAGGCCGAGCCTTACGGTAGCATAATTTGGGAATAGTACCATCAGACACTACTTCGCCAAATGGCAGCCTTCAGCAAGTAAGCAAGAATATTTTTGACCTGGCAAATGCAATGATCGCCGCCGCACTGTTCGTCACTCACTCTTCTTAGAAACTCGTGCTGCTCTCCCAGTTAAAGAGAGGGAAGCAACCACTTGACTCGCATCTTTGTGCCAACTTGCAGAACAATATTTTGCTGAAAGTATCAGATGGCTTCTAAACGTCAGTCCAACTGCAACCCCAAAGGCCTCATCGCCTTCAAGTCCCCGCGAAGGCCTCCGGCAACAAGCAGACAATCAAGGATTTGAGGAACCCAAATTATGGTTAAAATCTCTCAGAATTTTAGTGAAATTTGCATCACAATCAAGCCGAAGCCTCATCTTGTCCACAGCGTCAAGAGGGCTACACACACAACTTGAAAATCCAGAACTATGCATTACCTAGGTCGTCATGAAAAACCTGGGGCCTATGCGCAATTGTACTACAACTTTCAGCAACTTTTCTGTGAAACAACGAAAAAGGTACAAGAAAATTATCGGACGTTTCAAGTCTAAGGAATGCAAAAATGATCGGACTTTGCTAAAGTACTTCTGAACTTACACTAGAATCAGGCCGAAGCCTCGGCTTCTTTACATCCCGAAAGAGGACTCCGGGAACCAAGTGAAATTTCTCAGGTGAGGGAATGTGAAGTTATTGCAAGTGCCGTACTAAAATTGTTTGATGAATTTTGCTGTATAGTCAAGGCAGCGCCTCATCTTCTGCATATCATTGAAGAGGGTTCCTTTCAAAGTCGAGAATTCCAACGACATATAACGCATGTTGGCTACGGCATGGTTTGGATACTGCCAAAAACTTGACTACAGTCACAGTTTTCACCGCAATACATAGTTGGGACCCTACGCCGGAATTCCGGGTGTTCTTCACGTGGGTATGAGCAGGAAGTATGTCATGTACACGCACTACTGAATTACGGTATCAGACTTTTTGTTAGCTGAAAAAGTCAGTTGGTACTGTTTTCCCTACGCTATCAGTAACCGCTGGCTGGCATTGATCCATACATCCACGGCGTATTCCTAATATGGGAACAGTAGGGCGCCTTTCCTCACAGTGATCCTTCACTGATTTTAGTGTCAAAAATGGCAACAAGACTTATTCCAATAGGCACAACTAGTGCCACGATATCCGTTTGGATGCCGACAAAACCTTAGACCTTGCCAGGGATAGGCAGACCCCTGGGTTGACGCGGAGGAGCACAACATTGGGAAAGCCGACATCGTCGAACTTTTACCCCAGAATGCTTTTGCAGCTCACAGAGGTCGCGCTCAAAAGCACGAACCTTCCTGAGTGATGGCGGAGTCGCATGCCACCAGTAGAATTGCAGAGCCCTCAAACCTCGGCATATAAGTCTGCTGGCCGTATACTAGTGGAAAATTTCACTCACAAGATTATCCTCTTTCCGTATCTAAATTATATTCTGCACCACCACGTAGCCCGGAATTGGCTACAACATATGGCATGGTACTGTGTATGCACTTCCGACGAGAAATCGATGATTGAACAAAGCACGAAGCGGCACGAGGGAACAATAAACAACTGGAGGAGCATACGCACCGACATGGCGGTGCATTCGCCACTAGGGATCAACAAAACACACTGATACAAGTCTTCAGCCTCTTACAGGGTTAGGTGTATTCGACCCTCAATGCACATAGTGTACGATACACTATAAAACGTGGTCCTTCGAGAATCCATTCGAGTCCTAAAAGCAGTTTAGGGTAGCACCAAGAAAATGCATGTGAATAGGAGAAGCTGACTTGCCACAGAACACTGGGTCGGGGAGCACAGACTCATATGTTGTGCGGAGCACTTTCTGGACTTATTGCCCGTGGATGCACCTGACTGCTGTGGATGAGAACGAAAATAAACTACGCCTTTAGGCCAAATCTCACTGGGAACTATCTTGCAGATCCTTCCCCACGTTACAAGGGAGCACCACCCCCATGATTGGCTCCCCCATGTGGCCCCACTATGCGGTTTCACGCGGTACACCCAGACTTCAAACTGTGCAACCCTGAACAAAGTTTCCACTTTGAGTTGTGGCTTTCGGCAAGTGCTTCTCTGCATGCAAGCACCACAGTAAGCGTATACAACTATACGAGTGGATACTGGTAAAAGCACGACAAACAGTTTACCACAGGCAACCAAACTGCAACATTTCTAACTGTTATGGCGTCAGTATTGTGGGCCAAAGTAGACTCCTCCATCACTGCTGCTGTTATTCTAAACTAAAGGGCGTTCCTAACCGTAGTCGATGATGCCTACCCTCGCGCTCGCGCTGTGCAGTGGCGCTATTGGTTAATGCTGAGACAAGAGATTTTCCCCAAACACGCTTTAGACGCCCTCCATCCAGAAAAAAGCCGCATGCTGTTCTAGAAGAGACATGTCTCTCTGTCATGGTGCACTTATTAGTTCACAGCAATTTTACCAGCTCGGCCGGCATCAGGCTTGTTCATTATCTCCCCATAGGGCCTGTATCTTGTCAATCGTTTGCAAGTATTCAACATAGGTCCCCTTCGCGTTTCACACCTTGTTTGCCACCTGGCACGTGGCTCAACGCAGACTTCATATTGCTATGCTTTTACAATCCCTCCCAATAGCTAGATGTTACTCGCTCTGGAGCTATCTCAGACAAAAATGCTGCCTCACCTTCTCCAAAAGCAAGTCACGCAAGGCTTTATGATAGTGTCAGCCTGCGCGCAAGGGGTGCGCAGGGGGCCTCTGCATCCCCGCTAATATGCGGGGCAGGATCAAATTGATACAATCAAAGAGCTCTACAGCGCAGCTCCCACTGAAGGCACAAAAAAGGGGCTTGTGAAGGGCCATGTGTGCCACACATATCCCAGCCCTTCTCAACTGGTTCGTGCACTAAGGACCGAACTGAGGGAGATACGGCATCAGATGCGCCAACAGGAGCTTGTCAGCCATCAAAGACCTATCATGACCCCCTTCCTCTGTAACCTCTAAAGGACAGCCCACGCCAGAAGCATCATCGTCCAGAGGAGTGCATTCGCTCTCTGAATCGTTTTCGCTCGAAATTGCATTCTCGTCTACTGGCATTCTTCGTCGTCTCTTCTGAGCGGCCATCGAAGTTAAAGTGCTGTCGTACCCTGCGTCCCCACTTTCCTGCGTTGAATCCTTACAGATCAAAGTCTCAGCGGTCCTATTCGCTCGCCGGGATGCAAACTCAACGCGTGCACAGTACTCTGCGTCCAAGCCACTGAGAGCGAGAGTATCCTCATCTGCCTGGACAGTGTAGATAATTGGAAATTCTGTTCTCTGATCCCTTCCAGCCGGAGACAATCGCGAGTCGCCGTGCATTTCACTATCATTGGGCGTTGATGTCACTAACCCCTGCTGATTTAAAGGCCCTTCTGGAGGCCCACCCTCGTACGCATTCGCCCCCAACTGACTTGATTCTACAGCCGAAGTTTCGTGAGCACTGGCCGGCACCGGTGTAAAAAAGTCACTCCTATGTTCAGGAGCGCCGGTAACCGTCGCTGAGGATTTAAGTGGTGCTGCAGAAGCAGGAGAAGAGACTATCTTCATATGAGGGGAAGCATTGAGATTGCTGTGCTCCTGCGTGTTGGGAGTTTCCCTCTTCTTCCAGCTTGGGCGGCGGATCTTTGAAAAAGGAGCCGCTGCCAAGCGAAAAGTGCATGAAGCCTCTAGCATGCGCGCGGTGTCTTCAAGTCGCATGATATCTCCGAACAAGGCAGAGGCCTCGTCAGTGATTGTATACAAAGGGACAGCACAGGGATCATCCGTGCCTTGGGTTGCCATCTCTGCACTCCATTCTTTGGGAACCGCAGGATCCCCATCGTTGGTGTCTGCAGAGACACCACAGCCGTCTGCCGAAGATTCACGCGCTGCTGCGGGCTCTGAACGACACCGGCTATCATCTAGCGCAACACACGGCTGCACTTGTTCAGTGGCAGCGGCAGGAACAGAGCCACACTCGCAGTGGGGAGGCTCAGTCGCGCATTGCCTTCTAAATCTCTTGAAAAATATGGTGTGCGAGGCTTTGAGGTGTTCAGTCAAGCTACGACTGATCAGTGGGGAAGGTCTCTGCACTGATCCCGGGCGACACATGTACAGAGGCGCTTGTTCATCGTCATCATCACTTTCAAGCCCCTCGTGACGTTCGATTCTCGGCCTTGGCGGAACAACTCTGCATGTCATTCTCGCGTACCGAAGGAAGTGACTCCATGCATTGAGTGCAGCTAGCGCAGGGCCCTCACCCAGCTCGTCCGTTCTCTCGGAAAGCGACTCAGACCGCGGCTGTGGAACAAATTCGGATGCATGCGCATCCTCTGCGCTCTGACTTTGGCTCTTTGAGACAGACTGCAGGGCCTTTGGCCTCCCCTGCCCGCGGCAGGCCGCATGGGAAAAATCATCCGAACTCTCCGCTGTGTCTGAGGCTGGGGAGTCGCAAGGCAGCGCGCTCCACGCCTTCCTCCTACGATATATGCTGTCCAGCATTTCAGGAGTCATGCATGCCGCGAACGCCTCAAGCTTACGCTGCAACAGTTCAGAACCGCAATCGGCGGTCTCTGCGGCATCCATTCGTTCAGCACCAAGGGTGCTGCTGTTGCTCCTGCCGCTGTCTTTTACCGCCTCATCACCGTCGAATGCAGGGCCAAGAATGCGGTCCCGTCTCTCAAGCATTTTCTCCACCCATCTGGATTTCGAAACCCTGATTTCGGCGGCACTTTTTGCGCTCACACGGTACTCTTCGATGAGCAAAGCTGCGCTCGTGTCGTCATCCTCGGCAACGTCGATGTATACAGCGACTCCGTCGTCGTCGCTCTCGACATCGATCGCGCAGGCGGATGGCAAGGCAGACTTGAAGGTTCGAGGAGTGCCGCAATGGGACTGCGCGTAGTTTCGCACGCTGTGGGCCACAGAGCTACTCTCCTCTCCTTCAGAGATGACTTTCGTATCTTCACGCGCTTCAGGCGGCTGAAACGTGAAGCCGTTGCTACCTTCTTTGTCGCTGCAGGTGCTGCGCTCGGGATGCGTGTCGGCAGACTGACTCGCATTCTGACTGCTGCGCTTGGGACTGGCTAAGTCTCTCACCGTGAGTTCCCTGCCAATCACAAAATCGTCCTTGACTGGAAGGGCCATGGATGTCTCAGTGGTATATGAAGAAGGCGACACAGAGTTCCTGCGAGGATCCGGGCTATTTTCGTCTGCCTCTGTACTCTCTGAAGCGGGTTGCAGCGAACGAAAGTCGCGGGGTATCCCATAGAGAGCGCCTCCCTCCGAGTGCGCTGCCATTCCAGGGCCCATTCTCGGCTTTTAGCGAGCTTGCTACCGCCCTCCTGCCGCAGCTTCAATTGCACGATACTCGGCTTGTAGGACGCAAGGGGACGACCGCTGTCTAGTGTGGATCTCAAGTAGCTTGACGCTGCCAAAAAAATTTCCACAGTACCGTCCGGTGGGGTCCGTGTAGGCAGTGGTATGAACGGCAGCTTTACCAGGGGGCCTTGGGCCCATCTAGAGACATAGTCCAGGCCTGGGATAGGGGTACAATGGGAGGGATCTCGATCTCGCCATAAAAACGCAAACTGGGGAGATGTGTGAAGCCGACAGGCACTGCTTCCCCGGGCATTCAAGTTGGCGGAGAAATGAAGTTGGTGGGAAAGGCAGCTGCGAAGCTGCGCCAGGAAGATCCCAAAAAGAGAAAGCAGGGTGCACATACACTCGTATGGGGCAGCGAATTTCGACTCAGGGGTACAAGGCATCCGCCAATGTTCATGCTCAGTCCGAATGGAACTAGGACGTTAACACTTAATAAGACCTAAAGGCTGCCGCATACAGACTACAACTTCATCCAATCGAGAGGCGAAATTTCACGTGAAGCACTTAATTAAGCGTAGGGCCCACAATGAACTACCACCCGCAGCTGTAGGGGGTGGGTCTAGTACGGGGCCTGGTGGCAACATGGTTTTGGGAGGAAGACATTTTGTCTTCTTTTGGTGCTGAATTCACGCGAGGTGGCGTTAGAAATTGTGGCCTGAGCATTTTAGAGCTTGATCATCTAGCTTGTCTAGGAAAACTATGATTTTGTACAGATATCCTTCACCGCTCACCTCACCAACCCACCAGCCCCTGTTCCCCCTCCATATAGTTTCTAATTGCACAACACGTCGCGTAGTGCCTGTTGCACTCAGCCCAGAAGAACTCACCTTAGTATTAGGACTGACATTCTGCGCAGCAGGACGCATATCATTTTGTTTTCCACAGCGTTTTCCACGAAGCTGTGGTACATTACATTTTTTGCAGAATAGCAAAAACGTAAGGACTATTAGCACTGTGGCGCTAGAAATGTTCGCATACCATCATTTGAGATCAGTATCATAGTGCCAATCTACGTGAGTATTAGCGTTCTCGGGGTTTTGCTAGTACATCTTATTTGCACACAAGACATATGGAAAGGGAATAAGCAGGTGCAAAGGATTCAGAGACGCATGATGTGTGGCACCTGAGCGAAGGCTTCAGCGATCTATCAATCAATCCTGCTTACTATAGGCACATTCGCACCTTTTCGTGGTGCCTTGTCGTCTCTCCATCGCCTCCTGCCAAGGCCTTACTTTAGGCTTCGAAATGCAACACAGCACTAGGCCAATTGTATCGGGCTATTCTACGCTTAGGCACCCTCTACCACGCATTGCATTTAGCAAGTATGTAGAAACTGGTTGATGGCTTAGTCCGGTTTTTCATATGTCTTCTGTTTTGCAGAGAAACATAAGCTCGATTCAGACAGACGCAATATTGTGCCCCTGCGCTAGGTGCAACTTGCAACTAGCAGTGCATGCTCGGCAACCTTGCATACCTGTGCGTTATTTAAGACTTGCAACTGGGTGCGGATGCTCACAGTGTTTAAAGGATGCAGCTAAGCGCACCTTTGCTAGCTCTTTGCACTCACGTCGGAATGGCGCGGACATGGAAAGGAAGAGGTCTTCTTGAAAACATTCAATAGCTTTCCAGTGTATTTGGGTTAAGTTAAGAGCACTAATATGCCTCCTAGGGAGACCGACGAAGCGTTCTCCTAACTGCTGGATGAAAGTGGACTGCCACCACTGAGTTGGGTGGCCCCGCTGATGCTCACAATCTACAATGAAGCGGGGCCATCCAACTTAGTACACATTTGGTCAAGGAATCTCCGGGGCCTAAAAGCTTGAGGCGCTAAACGGCATTTTGAGGCAAACCAGCTTTCCAGGAAAGATCCCAGTGTGGATCACACTCTCTGCAATCCTCGAAAAGTCCAAGAAGACTACGGACATGCACAGTCGCTCTAAATGGTTGTAGACTGACTTGATTTGAATGCAGTAGAAGTATCAGCTGAGATCCCTAGTAAGCGATTATCATTGAGGGGCGCAAGATAAATATGCCAGCTGCGCTTATGTGGTTACTGCATGTGCTACAACAACACAAGAGCTGCAGCTATGCCAAAGGTATGATATGTAGTTGTCTGCAGGTTGTGAGCTCTGACTCTTTTGTCAGTAAGAAGATAAAAGACGCAGCATTCCGTGTGTCCAGCCCACTGCTTGGCTTGCAGGCTTTACATCACAAGCTCACTACTCAAACTGCTGCATGTAGTGGGTAAGCTTGTATTTTATCCGTGCACATCTACGTATCTTCCCATGCTAGGACGACGCAGAGTAATGCAACGGGTGACTAATAAACGTGAATCCTATGGCACCCTTTTATATTTCGCACCCCTAAGCAAGAAAAGCTGGTCGATCTCCTCTCCCTTAACCCACAAGGATGTTAGGTCGTATAGGAGGCAAAGAGAGTCTTGCTGAAGGCGGTTCTGCCTTCCAAGCCGTCCGGGTAGTTGCAAAAAGTTCCACAGGCAGTTGCGCACAACGCTTACGGTTATAGCAGTGAGCTAACACTACGTTGAAACAAAGGGATATACGAACAGTAGTACCGAACAGTCAATTTCCCTGTTTCTCTTCATTAAAAAAACTGCAGGTAGCTGTCAGCGTAGCCTGGCCTGACGAGAGGCACTTCCATTCGAAGTTGTAGACCTCCGCTGTAAGCGCTGCCCCACGGGCTAGTCTTCAAGGTGCGGTGTACCTTGAAGAGTGCACCCTTTACTGTAGTAGAACTGCTGCTGTGAATTGCAGCTAATTAGTGCAACACTTGAAAGATGTGCATTGTAGCGCTACATCGATGGTCTCCAACCGGAGACACTTATTCTAAAGCCCAATAGACAGCGAAGTAAGCGGCTTTTAAGTGCCCTTCCAAAAACCATATCTCCTTTTCTCTCACCTTGCCCTCCCCTATTATGATCGCCGCATGAGGGAATCAGGGCAAGTGGAGTGCGCGTGGCTACGCCCTTTGAACACTCCGAACATCTACACCCTGCTGCAAGTTTCGACTAGCGCACAGGTATGCAATGTTCATTCCTGTCACATTGAACTGATTTTCCACAACAATTTACACGCAGTAGAAGCCAGTTTAAACAGCATATCCTTCTCTTGTTCTTACCCAATTATAGCTAGTGCAGTAGAATGTGCGTGATTGTAAGTGAACCGGTACGTGTCTGCTGTTGGGCTGAACTTTACAGCGAGCCTGAGCCCATGCATATCATCAAATGGCTGTCACATACTGCTCCGCACTGCTCAGTGGGCAGAGTTGAAGCTATTTCACAACACCAGAACCCGCTGCATCAATCATATGGAATATTATCTGGCGAGTCAGTCAACCAATCTTCTCGGAGCCTGATGTTTTATGGTGCTTTGTGTTGCCCCATTCGCAATAGCTTTGTCGCCTCCCGGCAAATAATTGCTCGGTGTCTGGATAAAAACGAAATAACTATAGAAAGACACGACCTCCATGATGGCTCTTTCACTCACCGATTCCAAGGCAGTCGCTTTCCAAGTTAAATGCTTGAACGTGGAACCCACATATGGCAGAAGGCTCGGGCGTACTATTGACGTATGGGCAACATGCACTCTTTCCTCTTCAAGATTGCTCAGGGTGCACGCCCTTGCGTCGATTCTGTCGATCACCCGATATCTTCCTATTTGACTCTTCATACAAGGAACTAGTATTTTTAAAAGCCTTCTTGACCACCGCTTGATACTGCAGACATCAGTGAAATCCATGTTAAGTGTGATAGAGATATTCATAGAATGGTTGCACTGCTGAAGATCGAGGGCGTGTCCTTACACCCATCCCCGAAATGAAATTTAAACTGGTCCCTTTGCGAGATTTCCTATGCCTTTGTATGTGGGATTCAAAATAGGGAAAGCCGAACATACCCAACAGAAGTGCAGTATGCTTAAAATACAGGTAAATGCTGTGAAGGAGAGCTCCTGACAAATGTAGAGACTCTCAAGAAGGAGCGCGACATTTGTGGTGTAAGGCTCTTTGGCCAACGCAACATAGCACACTACAAAATATTCTGCAACGTAATTACAAGCAACCACAATCCCATATCCTTGTGCCCTGGACAGTGTCGGGCCATGGCCGAACGGCAGTGTTAAACGTCTGCATTTGGTGTAGCTGATGTCAGCAAAATTAACTAGATGCTGGCAACACTTCCATACTCCGTGCACTTCTCAGTCTTTTTGAAGGGAAGGTTTAACAACTCCAGCATGCAAGGCAGCCCGTTTGGCTAGCTGTATTGAAAGCATAGCTGGGTGCAACGACGTAGGGAACTGAAAAATGGAGTGTGGAAGGTGCCTAAAAGACTATCAAGTCATCCAATGTCCATGTGCATTGAACAGCCGAGTCACAGTGCATGCACTGATGGCGAGTGCCTCCATGTTGCTGTAGAGAGATACTTGTGGCGTACTGTTCGTGCAGTCTGTCCCAACAAATGGTGCATGCTACCCCGCACGCAACGAAGCTGGTTTGGTTGGCTGCCGTTTCCTGTTTGACAGAAATCACGCTTGATTATATCCCCGGAATCATTGGCCGCAATCGCTCCAGTCTCTGGTCATTTGCCCCGCCGATTCGGCAATGCTTACATGTTTTGCTTCTGGATTGTATCGCACGCTATGCATTGTCTCTGCTGACCTTGTATGCTAAAACACGGGCCTAAGCCATTGATGTATAAGATAGATAAAGTAGAAGACAGTTACTGTGAAAACTCGCTCGTAAGCCTGTTGATCAGCTGGTATGTGATTTTTGAATAGCTTAAATGCCCAGTAAGCTCATGGGGCAAGGTAGTAGCTCAATGGCGTTTGAGCACCGCTGCAATATTCCATTGACTATCAGCGCACATGTACATCAAAGCCACAAAACGTGCAATAGCATTTTTTGACATCTCATGGGTCTGTCTAGATGAACGATCCTGTTTCAGGCATCCCCCATCAGTAATACACGATAAGCTAAATGAAACAGGCATCTAGGATGCCCAACTCGATGTGTCCTCCCAAGATCCAGAAAAAGGGAGAAGAAAGTGTGAGCAGCTTCACACGCTATTCACCGTTTCCGTGGTTATGGAGGCAGCAATCACACCTACACAGCACACGTTCTCAGGGTTAAGGCTTTTAGAGCACTTGCTTATTGACTCCGAAATTCTCAGTCTAAAAGGACCGGAGGGAAGGGCTTCTGCTGAGCTATGCTGGTCTGATAGGGCCACAAAGGATATGCGCATATCCGATGTACAAACCCAAGGTTAGCGTGCTATTTTTTAGCCTGGAAGAAATAATCTATGTGTCCAAAATAATCTCGACATAGTATCTGCTGTAGTACGGTTACTAAACACTTCGTTTCATCTTTTGTTTTATCCAGAGCTCGTTCACCACCAATCCTTCGAAATGCATGTAACAACCCGTGAAAATTGCTTACGCTTTGAGTCCACTAAAAATGATAAAATAATTATGCATGATACCTTCATCAACGACGCATTCATCCTACAGTATTTCGTTCTCTGTCGGAGCACTTTTATGAGCTCCCGAAATGTTTTACGAGGCTCTGCGCCCTCCGAATGACAAGCGGCTGCTTACAAGCCAAACGTTGTAGCAAATCCTGCTGTGTTTATAAGAGCCCAGGCACTTTACAGCAGCTTTGGTGACCGTCTCTGTACGCGGATATATTCACACCATCAAAGTGCGGTTTCTAGCACTTTTGCGTGCCCAAGGATTGTTTATGCGCATTCGCGCTTCTAATTATAGCGTGTTCAAGATTGCTCTAGACTATTGGGATGCATGTGAGAATCGGTCGGTTATTCATGGCGGTGCCTAACGAGTCGAACCCAACAAGACAGTGGCACACCTTGACAAATTGACCTCCTCGGCAAGGTTCATTCAGTCAGCATACACTTGGGCCCTCATTCCGGTGTAGCAACGGATCATTAAATACAGGAGAATACCCAGTTTACGTCACACGTACGCCGGAAAGGTACTACAACTACGGATCTATCCTATACATCCCTTGCAGTAGTGTTGGCATAAGCGTTGCTGCAACACCTATAAAAACTGTCATGGCGCCTCACAGGATACTCCTGTATGTGACTGTTCAGCCATATAGATTGTTAAGTGGCGAGAGAACGCGCTTATCTAAAGCTCCCCTAATCCAGCGACTTGTGTCAGGCACAGCGTGCAAGGGAAACAGCCAGGGCACAGGTTGCTTTACCTTTGCACCAGAAATAATGGAAAATGTAAAGGATGCAGCTTCGTAGGAGACACATACGAGAGCTCCGTTAACCAGCCATTTGCTGTTTTACGAGGAACCCATTCAAAAGAACTGATTTTCCAGCTCTCACGAATGTTTTGCTAGACTGGCTTTTTCAACTGCCGATGCTTAGAGCGGCCGTCTCTGCCTACCAAGAGAAACGCCACCCTACTGATAAAGGTGAAGCGTTAGGTGTGTCTGCACCGCTCCGGAGCTATCCACTGTGCCTGAAACTATAGCCCGCTGTAACTGGGTAAATGCTATGATGGATGCAATTCTGGATCACAGCTACAGCGTGCTCTGGGCCCGCGAGAGTGTTTCAGAGATTCGTCAGGCTTCGACCTTTCCCGAGAAAAGCCGTTTTTGTATGTTCTAGTGGTCTTCAGTTCTCCGTGGGGTCGAGTAAGCAGTGCCCGTAGTAGCTGTGTTTGAAGAGGAAGCGGTGTGCGACCAAACTTCGTCGTCAACCTGACGAGAAGCCTGTGCAGCTCCAAAAGAGGGTTTCCGAATACCATGCTGCTTTTAAGTAGTACCTGAATACATGCAACAAACCCTCTTTTATGGTCTCGCAGGTTCCCTTCTGATGTATCTGGGGAAGCATTGTGCCAAAGGTGTGCCGTCCCGTGGGGTGCCGTTGCCGAATAACATTTTCCCTTCCTCACCGTGGCCATCAGCGTTTCTACGTCGCTTTCCTTAAGATCACAAACAAATTCTATCAAATTATCGTAACGAAGGCCTCTCTGCAGGTCTCCTCTCATCAGCTCGAGAAGTCTATAAACCGGGTGCGGTGTTGTTGCACTTCCATTTGGCCACTCTGCTTCCCCACGAATTCCGGCAGCCGCAGTTTCCAGAAGATCGGAATACCACGCCTCCACGAAGTCAGCCATATCACTTTGGCGGCAGCTCTTTATTCTCTGCAATAAGTACATTTATTCAGGGCAGACATTATGCGTTTGAGTGGACTCTTACATAGATGCTACTACTAGAATATTTTTGAAAGAGAATGAGTCGATATTTCCACAAAGGCCGTATATGCAGAATTACTAAACAAAGTGCGCGTCCCAAAAAGGCAATCAATGGCTTCTCTAGTAATACTGTGTCCTTTATGACAGGGTCACAAGATTTGTATTACACTGCGCTACCTTTAAGGCGTCCACCGTCAGCTGCTGTGGGTAAAGCTTGTTGCTTCGTATATGCTGAATGAGGTAGAGGCGGGTTCTGGGGTCGAAGAATCCATGCAGATACTGCATGCCAAAAGCATAAAGTCAGGACTGCTATTTGAGAACATTCCGCGTGAATCACTAACTGCTATTTTCTGACCCAGGCAGCACGGCGAAAAACGACTGCATAGGCATAACTGTGCAGCACAGAGTGTTCCCTTGAAGCAAGACTAGTTATATGCCTACTCTCGTGTTGAGCAGAGCATTAAGCCTGCGTTTCGCATATTCACGGGCTTCCTCCCGAGCTCTGAGACCTTCCTGAAGAAAACGATTTCCAGAAGAAACGCACACTGTGAATAGACAGAACACGACACCACATGGCCCCTCAGTATTAGAGCACTAATAAATGTTAATTTGAAGGGAATTTACCAGAATATCGGATTACAAGTATACTGGAGTCGCGTAAGAGTCGTGCAAGAGCTAGGATTGCACCGTAGAATTTGTTGCCCCTGAAGTTTTTATTCCTAGTCTTAATTCACCAAGTAGAGATAACAAATGCAGCGTCAACTAACACTCCGACATGCATGACAGATAAAATAGTAGGCAGATTCCCACTATTTTTGGTAAAAATGAGCTGCTTCCTACAAGCTTTAAAAACGGATTCATCGTGTCTGTAAACAAGTATTTTACCTGTATTTTCTTTAGGGCATTTTCTGTGGCGGTCTTTCCGGGAGGCTTTCCTTGACATTCAGCCTTCCTCCAACTAAGCTGAAGATGTGGTAGCTGTACTTGCTGTTCTGGGAGCCACTCATTTTGTGTAAAGTCACAGCAAGACACAACAGTACTTCTGGTCCTTACACTACAATTTCTTGTTTACCACTTTCTTGTAGCCCTACAACAAAACCGTGTAGGATGTCCCCAGTGCCCATAAAACACATCCACAAAGGGCGTGCTCTATCAGACCAAGCCTCAATTTGTTGGTTGTTTCTGCTGTTTCTTACCAAGGCCTCCCGCGGAATTGGAAAGGTCGGGTTGCTGTATGGGAGACACAGCTGCACTTGTACATCGACTACCGACCATTTTTTCTGCTAGGTGGTGCAGCTGTTGCTGGATGACCTCAGTGGTGAGAGCGCCACTGATGGCAGCGGGCGCACTAGTGGGCATCACGCCCTCTATGTTGGACCGCATGCTGGTTGTAGATCTGCGCGGTCTACCGCTATGAGAAGGTCTCGTTGGCTTGTTAGCTACCCACCCTGCCATGTGGTCCAAATTCCTCGAAGTCCAGAAGGCATCGTCAGCCTCAGCAAGCACTTTCTCAAGCCTTGCAGCTGGCGAGGAGGAGACTTCCGAAAGGCTGAGACGGCTGCTGCTACGGAAAATTCCGTGACGAGCGTCATCTCCCTTATTTTTTGAAGCCATCGTAATACCTGCCGTTATTGCAAGAGAAAAGATTGCAGCGCCTGCTCTACATCTGTCTACCGCGGCAATTCGCCCTAGCGTTCCTTCTACTACTAGCTCCATTTGCTCTCGAGTCTTCGCTGTGGAGAAGGCGGAGGCAAAGCCCCCATTTTGTAGAAGTCACACTACCCTATCAAAGCTATGCAAAGATATCACGTGGCAATGTAGCATTCACGAGGAGGCGGTGTGACTGGAATTTCAACTTGCCCTCTGCTGCCTCGCTGGCTACCTCTTTGAGGCGTCGCTGCTGCTCGACATACTCCTTTAAGGTTAACAGCCGCCTTGTACTGCTCACGCAGGATGATAGGACGTGGTTGTTGATGGCCTCCAAATTTAGCCTGCAGAGTGAGACGCTGGCAGAAAAGACACTCCAAAGGCAGTGCGTACCCATTGCTACCGAAAACATCAGTGAACAAGCACGTCTCACTTGGGAATGGCGTGCTTAAGAAGATGTTTTGAAGATGGACCAGTAGAGCACTTCCTCGAGCTACGACAGAGGGGCGCTGGTGTAGGAGACGCAGCAGCGTTGGGAGAGGTGACTTTACTTTTCGCATTGTATTCGGTGTTCAGGCACCCGTTCGAACCGCTGAAAAAGCAGACCACACCTGCCTAACCTTAAAGGCACAAGGGTTACTCTCTGACGACTACATTGGACAGTGTACGATAATAGAGAATGCTCCCAGTAGGTGGTGAAGTGCACTTAATGCCCTGCTGGCATCAAGAAGGATCAATTTTGTTCGAAAATAACAGGCTAGTGCATTGAGGGCTGCAAAGCCCCTACACAGCAACTGCTGTACCCGCTGTTCAGGCAAATTAGTACTCGTACTTGCGAATATTACTCAAGGCTCATGGCCTTTAAGGGATTGTTTCCTCACCGGTACTTTTGGCTCATTCGGTGGCAGTAAGAACTTGGCGCGAGGCCAGGGGACTCTCCAGCCTCCTTATATTTGGCTGGCAGTACTGGATAGTGGCAGCCTGGAGATTCCGTGCTGTAGGATACGCTCAGATTAGATCGCCTCGAGGCGGCCTTGTTGCTTGAAAGTGCCCTACCCCCACTTTTTGCATCACCTGGTCTCATTGGGTGCAATTTACAGCGGCGGCCCGTCCCTGCCGCTTTGCCGCCTTCTTCCTTCTTATCACTCTCTGTACGTTTGCCTATTTCTTTGGCTAAGCCGATCTGACGGGGCACACGGTCGTCAAGACATTAACTGAGGCCGAATCGAAACGGGGCAGACACCTTACAATGTGCATGTCGGGCCGTTTGAGGCTCAGCACTGTGACTGCTGCTCTTGAAGAAAGTCACACTTTTGGTGTTTGAACGGGCCTCCAGAATTTTTCGGAAGGCAGCACATGTATTCTGTAGAATATGGGGCTGCCAGTAGTCTACTTTTTTCTTTTAAGTTGGGTCTGCAAGAAGCCTATCAGTTTTACAATCACGGCTAACCGTGTCCGCAAAGGTGGCGCTGGCAGGAGGACAGCTGGGAGGCCGCTGGAGTTGAACGGGGGCGTCTGGAGAAGTAAGGAACACACGCTTGAGAGATTCTTCTGCAAGTACACTGCCAGAGAACGCCGGACCGATGCTGCAAGGGCTCGACTCGTTGCTGTTGGAGTCGTCTTTAGCGGCGTTAGCGTAAGCACTTGAGTTGGACACATGTACAGCTTCCGGGACAGAGTACTTTTGGACTCTTTCCACTTCAGTAGTGGAACAAGAGCCTTCATGTGTGGCAAAGGCAAGCGGAAAGGCAGCCTTCACTTTGCGCGAAGAAGCAGATGACGACGCTAGCAGCTTTGACCGCGGCAGGGAATTTAAGCGCTTCCGATTCCTACGAGACAACAAGGCCTCAAAGACTCTGAATATCTCTCTGATTTTGGTGCTTAAATGCGCCTGCTCCGGATTCGGAGTAGTCCTAGCAGCACTGTCTTCGGGGAAATCCATGTTTGCGAAACATAGCCTAATGGGTGGGGGAAACATACGAATTAAAGTCCCGCGAAGCTGCACTAGCAGCCGCTGCTTGTTTCGCCACCTCTTCTATGGTAGCCATTACAGCGGGACCCCACAGTCTTGTTTTAGGTGTACCGATGCCATTGAACTCTCGTGAGGTAAGGGGTGCCAGGCGGGCAGCCTCATGAAATGCCTCGCATGCAGCTCTCGCTGTGGCGGCGAGCCCTTCCGCTGGGCTTAAACACTCTTTTTCGTGGATGCAGCAGCATACAGAACGGCCCCGAATGGCCTGCGTGCACAATGCCACAGAAGTCCGGCTTTATGTTGTCTGCTCATCAGTTGTTCTTCACTGATGGTTTAAGCAGATCCTGTGTGGATTGTGGCCTGGAGGAGTCTCTCAACCCTAGCAGTGAGACCGCTCTGTACTCAAACGTAGAGTATGTTGGAGACATCTGGGATGCTGCACCTTGTTTTTGGCTACTCTTTGTCGCGCAAGTGCCGTCTTAATAACTCTGTATTCTTCAGTCCAGCGGCCCTTTACAGACGCAGAGGTTCGGGGAGTCTGAGGGTTGAAAAGCCGCAGGGACTGAGTATCTGCGGCCCTGGTGTCTGATGCGTCTAGTCTATCCGACGCTGTGCCCGTGTGCGCCTCCGCCTCTGACGGGCACGAAGATCTGTCCTGCAGAAGTCAGCAGAAGTCAGCGACTCTTTGCATTTACACCCTTAGGTCAGCCTCCCCTGGATAAATATTGGCTTTACGATTCTATGGACTTCGTGGGGCTTATGCTAGTGTCCCTCTGTTTCCTTCAGCAGGTATTTAGAACCTAGAGGGAGTGCTGAGCCCCTCACTAAAATAATCGCTGTATAGGGGGCTTCTAGTATTTTTGTGCGTACAACAAAGTTTTGAACGAATATCATTAGTAGAAACACAAGCTAAATTGAAATAACCCTAGGTTTTAGACGTTCAGGGGGTACTTACCGGAGGTAACGCTTCCATCAGAGCTATAAACGGGCCGCCCACAAGCTGACATATGGCTGACTGAGTAAGACGGTCCACCAGTTCCCCTCCAGCAAGGAGCGTTTGGCAGTTTCTACGACTCTCCTGTAGTAGCTGCTGATGCCCAGTGCTGTCCATCCCACATGCAGATTTGCAGAGGCTACAAAAATCAATCTCCTAAGCGATACGATTGAATATATGAGTGGATGCGCAGACAGAGTCACTGTCAAGTTTGCTACCGCGAACAAAACCGACTCAAACAGTGCAAATGAAAGGTCCTACAGCCTCTCTAATTTGACCATGCACATTCCTGGGTTCTGGTTGAGTTTGGGGATGGCGACATGACCCACAAATGTGTAAAGGATGACGAGAGAACTGTATGCATGACATTATTGCGCAACGAGAAGAAAGAAAGCAGCGGTTAAGCTTGGATTGAATAAGCAATATAAGATCCAGGAATCGAAAGTATTCATGTGGATATGTGTGCCTAACTTAAGTGCTGCTAAGAAGCTCCCTGTGTGTGAGTGAGGGTAGCTTACATGTTCTGAACCGCTTCCAAAAGAGGGCCAAGCTCCGGTCGTGCACTTATGGCTACTCGGAAAAAATGATAACGCCAAAGGTATCACTGCCAAGCTGTTAGTACACTACATAAAGATCCTGAGCTGCATGATAATACGAAATCTTTAAACCTTTTCGCCTGTAGGAAAGCCTTCAAGACGGGTAAGCTCTTCATTTAATTTTTTCCTCTACCCATAATATACTGGAAATTTGTTCTATATGCTTTCGAGTGCCCTGGCAAAATATCTCAACCAGCAGCAAGGTTCCCGTTAAATGCTCAAGACCAATGCACTTATAGAGCTCTGTACAGCATCGCTCACAGCCGTAGGGGAGCTTAGTCACGTGTTTAGGGCAGTGCGTCAACGAGAACCCAAAAGATAAAGCATGTTTGACTTTGCGACTGTAGTGGCCGTGGTTACAATTGTAGCGCTGCAATCGGAAATATGACTCAGCCCAACACTCCTGGAGGTGTTGATGGCATTATTATGCGCTGTTGTTTTACCATCTGTAGTGGCACACATTTATTTTTATTGCTTTGGCGAATTTCTCTGCGTTTACAAATTACTAGACTTCTCCTGGAGCCCCATGCTGCGCGGGGCTGCTCGAGCGAGCGCTTGTTTTCTTGGTTGCGCTGCAGTGAAAGCACTACACGAAAATTCTGTGCAAAGTCATGAGTAAAATAGAAGTTTAAGCTATGCTTCATGGCATGGGATTGGGGGTTTCAGGTGGCAAAATGTGTCTTCTCTCGGGGGCCGCTGAAAGGTGATCAGTGGTAGTTGATCGAGAACTGTTCCTCAAGTACCTTTCTACAATAATATGACGAACAGTAGGATATTTTTAGAGCTCTTGAGTGCTCACAACTCCGCCTATGTGTATATTTGCCCTTGTGAGCTCCTGAGACATGGCACACCGCACCTTTCGTAACATGGCCGTTTTATTCACATGCGTAGCGAGTCCGCCCACGTAGCTAGGGCATTTGTGGTGTATAAAATTTTGTATCAGCACCTGAGTAACATTTGATCGTTACTTAGAAAGCTGTATAGGGCTGAGATTAAGATTATCTAATAACAATCAGCACCACTGGCTGATGCCACAAATATATGGAACAAGTCTGCTAAATGGCTGCTCACTGCATTTTCACTTCGTGGTATAGAAGTAGATGTTCACAATTGATTGATGAGATGAAAAAGTCTAGGGTGCACCAAAGCCGTACCGTCATACAGGCGTGGAGAAAGCAAAGCAGTGTGCTTGTTTTGTATTTCGTCCACGCATGCATAACTTGTGTGGCCCTCACGGAGCTAGAGGGTAGTGAATGTTTGACTAGTTACTCAGTTACATATATTACTGGCATGAGCCGTGGTATGCGGGCATCAATTAGTTATTTTCAATTTGGCCTCGGCTCGAACACGAAGCAGTGGCTGCAAAGACCTGCTGCGCTGATTGTACAATTGATACTCAGTACTTTGGGACATGTTCTACTAGCCCTCTTGAAATTTCTTTTTCACAGTGCGGGCCGAGTCCAAAAAATGTACCCCACGGCATGGACAGCGAGATTATTCCTATTGGTGATGGCATGTAGAGGAAAGTGTCGGCCACTCATGCACACGGCTAATTCGCATAGATCATACGCTTTAGATGGAGCATGCTGGTATAGATATAAGCCACTTCGCACGAAAGTAATAGAAAACTTGAACAAAGAAGAATACGTAAAACCTTTTTAAATATACAAATAGAATTCTCTGGGATACGCTGAGCAAAGCCTTCTCAAGTGATATCCAACAGCTTAATGTTGCTTTTTGGCCTACTGCGCTGCCGTTGACGGGGTAGGTTACGCCTTCTCATCTTCTAGTACACTGAAAATATCTAATTAGGAGTTTATCTAAGAATTGGCTTTATGGTCCGGCTGCTCATACGTTTTTTGTCGCAAAGTAGAGTTGGGTCAATATATTGTTGTCGACATGTGCGCGGGTGGCCACGTGCAACTGGGTGTTTAAATGCTCGGACTGTAGGAAATACATCACTGCGCACCCTTCCTGTCCGTTTCCTGGTATGCCGCACCCCTGATGGCTGAGAGTGAGGTGAGGGAGCTCTCTAGGGAAGACATCTCACGACTTCCTACAAAATTTTGTATCGGGGTCGACGCTAGAAGGGTTTCGTAGGGAGCCCCTAGTTGGAGCGCTACACTAGCTCGATCCAGGAATCGCATGCGTAGCGAAAAAGAATATTCGAAGGACATTTTCGTTGTGCTTCCGCAGCCAAAGCCTGAAAGGCGGTTGCTGTTTTACCGCAGCAACTGCTACGGCACAGCCACCCACGCTGGTTGTATCCCTGCTAGTCCAGTGTCCAGTTTATCCCCGCTATGCGGAGTCCCTGAGGAGACGCTAGAGGACTAAAGAGAGAACTCTGTGCATGCGGTGACGCGCCAGCAGCAGAAGTTGCAACAGAGAAGGCTCTGAACCAGTGGGGCTCTGCATTGCTATGGTCTGTTGCTGTTTGTTTGCCGCTGATGCCGTTGCCTTTGCCGCAGCAGCAGCTCTGCTGCAGCAGCATACACAGGATGTGATGTGCTGCCTGAAGGAGGCACTCACTCCCGTAGGCCTCCGTTTGGGCCGGAGGGCAGACAGAGAGACACTAAACCGTTCAGTGCGCTGATCTTCACACCCCGCAGGAGACACACCGCAATGGAAGGAAACGCCTCTCTCAAAAACTTAGAAACTAAAGGAGAACATTTTCCGGATGTCGTGGGCGAAGTGGTAAAGGTTCCGCATGAACTTGTCCTACCACAACAGATCGGAAACAGTAGTGACCATGCAATTCATTACCCAGGTATGTAAATGGAAACAAATGTGCACAAAGAAACGTAGCGCCACGACAAAGGCCATTGCATGAAAGAGAAACAAACGAAGAGGCAACACCGACTTTATCCGCAAATATCATACGCTTAAACGCTCGAGCCGTGGCTTTATACTTAGCGCCTATCGTAGAGCTTCTAAACAATTGAAAGCTCAAGAATAAGAACACAGGATGCACCACTACCCGCAAGAAGATGAAGTTGTAGTGGTTTTATAAGTTACTTTATTTGCAGTCTCCAGGTCATCTTCGATGTTTAGCATCAATGCTGTAAAAAACCCCTCTACTCTGCAGCAAAAAAACACGAAGTGAGATCCAACAAATGATATACTACCGCACTCCAGCTGAACAGACGCAATTTACGAACTACCTGGCGGGAAAAATGTGTCAGAGAGAAATTCAGTAAAGTTTTATATAGGCCAGGAGGACGCATAGAGGACGCAACACGGTATCACAGAGGCTCAAGCTTGAGGTGCGCCTTACTGAGGCCTCTTGGCTTCTATTTGCTGTTCGATTATTTGCTGTTTGAGCTTTAAGTATTCGTTCTCTTGCAGCAGAATCAACCCCAGTAAGACGCCTGAGATGGCGAACAAGTTGGGAAGCTGGCCTGAATCAAAGATGGGGAGGCAGAAAAACCAGTTCGCGTCGTATGGGCATATGCGCATTCATGAGGGTATGTGTGTGTGTGTGTGTGTGTGAATGTGTGTCTGTTTTTGTCTGTCTCTGCGTGCGTGTATATGCCGAGGCGCTGCTACAAGATACAATTATACTGAGTAATTACACAAATTAGCGTGCATGCAAGAGTATTTAAGTGCATAAACATTAGGAAAGCTGCAAGTGAAGAGTTACGCATGCATCCAGCAACCGAGATATCAGGTACTTGCAGGCGTGTGCCCCTTCCCATGCATGCGTCTAAGGTCATCCAAAGTCATTGAAATACGCGTGACAGTATGCATGCACGGGTACCAAGGGCAGGCAGGCACTGTGCATGCATGCAACTATACGAACCCGTCATAAGGAGTTGGAAGATGAGCTGCAGCATTCGGGGAAGACTGCCTGGTTGGGCTTCTAGGAAGGCGCGCACGGCCTGAACAAGGACAAGCACGACAGGCATAAAATGCAAACCTCGACATGAGCACAATGTGGTATCAATGTTCTGACTAGGAAAAAAGCCCACGCGTGCCCTTTGCTTGGACTAATGGCAATGTAGCGCAGGTGCATGCACTGAAGTGAAGCGCTTGTGTAGGAAAAGCAACTCTCGCCAAAAAGCAAGTTCTGCGTCACGGGGTATTCTGGGGAAAGCATTTAGACCCGATGCAAATGCACGAAAAGAATAAGGACTCCTACTGGACTGTAAATCATGGAATCACAAAAAACCTCTTGGATGCTGTCTGCGGCGCTATGATCTATGCCTAGCAAGCGGTTGCTCCCTGCAGCTGGGGTGTAGGGACGCCGAAGAAAACACAAGGCGTACGGTGCCTTCCTTCTCCTCAGAGTTTCTGTATCTAAAGATGAACTCCACAAAGTGACCTAATGTTGCACAGGACTGCATCAACACTGTTTCCTGAGCACAGAGGCCGTCTTCCACGCATCGCAGCAGCTGCGCTAGATGGGCCGGTGGCAGCTCTAAGATCTGCATGCACATATAACACGCACACACATACATATATATATACATATACACACATATACACATACACGCACACATACACACATACAAGCCACGAGTTTAATGCTACAAAAAGCAGTCTACAGGACAAAAGGGGGCAAAAAACTTGAAAAGCACACGCGAGACGCGCCAAACGAGGTCTGGACGCTTCCCCACCAGATGCTTCAAAGGCAGGAACAACGCGAGACACAAAAGCAGCTCGATTTGGCAAGACTACACACTGGACACACCGAGCAGCTGTGGGCAGGCCAAGCGAATGAAAGGCTGTACGACAGACTCGAGCGTTGGCGATGCGTATGCAGTCTACGCGACAGCCCAGACGCTAGAGAAACAAGTGCTGGCGGGAGGATGGACAGTGCAGCCAACATGCGCATGCGGCGAGAGTGCAAGACACGCTATGGAGGGCTTGAGGAAGAAGGCACAGGGAGCTAAAGCTGCAACTAAGAAACTGACGTGCTGCATGAACGACTCCGTAGCAACCTCGAGGAAGGAATACACCGGCCTCAGCGACTTCAAATAGGCCATCAAATCTGAGACATCACACCGCCGCATAGTAAAATACCATTCGCCAGCGCCGCTTACAAGGCCTGATGACACATTTGGGCGGGATCCTTCTGGTGGTGTAGCCAAGGGTAAGAACTACGCGAGTGTCTCCCCCCACAGGTTGCATTTGTACACCTCGCACATATATATATATACACATACTTCCCATCAACACATTTGCTCCCGCACAGATTCCGGAGAGTATTTCATTCACAGGCCAGCAGGAGCTGCGTGTGCGCAGAGCGCCACCAGGCAGCAAGCCTGCTTGTAGAGATCACTCGAGTAGATCTCGCTCAGAGCACGGGAAGGCGGGAGCAACCTTACCGTCTTGGGGTATTGCAAGACACATCTGCAAAGCCAGGCGAAGCGAGTCGTTGAGCACTGTATCTCCGTAAACTTCAAAGACTTCATAGTGGCAATAGTTGCCGCTGATGATGTTGCTGAGAATCTGTAGAGCCACCGCCATGCCCTTGTACTTTTCCTTGTACGGATCCGTGAACTCCTGTTTCTGCAATATTCTGCGAGCGAACGGAAGAGCAAACAGACAAGACTGCTGCATTCAGCGCCACATGCGGGTGCGCATGTTACTAATGCAACGGGATATATACACACACACACCCCTGAACCCGTCCAGAGAAGGTCGCCGCGCGTGGCTAAAGGCTATTTTTTTCGAATGCTCCCATGAGTGTAAAACGACGACGACGAAAGGAGGGAGGATGCAGAGAAGATTGACCGAGCACCACAGAAAGCGGCATGATTATGAGCACGAAGAAACATCACAGACCGTGGAGCGCATGCACAGAATACACAGCGAGACGCATACTGGGCAAAGTACAGCAAGCAGGAGGCGGCATCCCCCGGCTACATTAGGGCAGGGGTATACACCCCTCGAAGACCTTCTACTCGAAAAGCCAGCAGCACAGTATCGCTACTCGTAGCGGCATGCACACATCGCAGCAGCGGCCAAGAGGAATCTACGCCTACCGCAAGGCCAAGAAAAAGAGGCCGCTCACCTGTTACCGTATTTGAGCACTACACTCGACGCCTCTTTGAAGAGCCGGATGCCATTGGCAGAAGACTCAACAAACTGAATCCTGCCGCCCCCTCTATTGCTCACAAAATCGGCAATAAACTTCAAAAGGGGCACCAACACTTCCGCATCATCCCACCACGCATCCGCGGCCCAGCTGAAAATCGCCATCTGGACGCCGACACACATACATATATATACATACATATATACATACATATACATATGTGTATATTGACATATTTTATGCATGCAAACACACATTTCATATATACATACATATACATACATATATATATATATATGCATCTATATATATAGACATATTTTATGCATGCAAGCACACATTCGCGCGTGTGCGCGTGCGAACTCGGGAGGTCACTTCCCAGACATGGCCTGATCAACGCATATACCCCCCTAAGAAGGAGCACTAAGAAGATTCCCTGCCCTCTCTAAGGCCAGCTGTGAAAAACTGGCATCAGGCTGCGAAGCGGCGCGCGTGTGGCTCGAGAAGAAGGGTCCTCCCAGTGGCATGTTCTCTCGAGAAGACCGCCGCTAGCTCATGGAATACGCTTGGCTATCCAGATTCTTTAGAAAGCTCTGAGGGAAAGTGCAGCCTCTTTTTCGAGGAAGAAGCCCTCACACGTGTGCTGCCGTTGATCTTCTTCCATGGCGACATCAACCAATCAAAGAGGACGGTGTAGGTGGCGTTGTTTCCTGAAGCGAAGCTCAAGCCTCTGAAGCAAGTTCGACAAACACGTTTCGCATTGCATTGCAGCATTGTCAGGCCTGCAACAAAGCCTGCACTCTGCCTTGGGGCAGACGACTTTCCAAGAAGCCGTGCAGGGGGACGAGCCAAAAAGGTCAGTCATCTGCCTTGCACACCTTAAGTCTCGCACGAGACCAATCAAGGGGTCTCTGCAGAGTGGATTGCGGATCGACTGCGGATTACGGCCCTCATCTGTTTGCTGCCAGAGGGACAGGAAGATGGCATCCATGGGCTGCACGAACTGCTCAAAAGAGACGGCTGCTTTTCGCTGCTGATAGAACAAGAGCGTTCCCAGTGTCAAATAATAGGTCGTCCGAAGCCGCGAGTATCTGGGAAACACCCCAGCGCACAAGAGGTGAAAGAGACAAAAACAGGCGCAAGAATCATACAAAACCACGTCCTCCACAAGCAGAAAGAAGACGCTCAGCGCCGAAGGACGAAACGGCAGCCGAAACGTCTCTTCCCTTCCCTTTCCCTTCTCTCCGATAGGGGACTAGGCTACACAAGGCAGCGCATGCAGCAGCAGCAGCAGCAGCACGAGGAGGAGAGTGCTGCGTGCGCTTACCTGCGCATCGACAAGAATTTGAACTCCACGTTGCAGTGATTCGTCAGGAAGTAGCCTCCGGTGGGGGTTTCCAGGAGAAGTCGCCCCGTGACGATAAGTTCCGGTGCTCTCGATATCCAATGTACAATATGCACACCGGCTACGAACTCAAACAGCAAATCCATCGACTTCTTGATACACTCCGGCATCTCCACGCGGTGCTGCAGGTTGAATCCAATCTTGCTGACAAGTGTTGCAACCACTGCCTTGTCATCCGCCGCTCCGAGAGCTGCACGTAGATACATACCCAAAAACACAGAAGCGAAAAGCGGCTTGAGCGTTGCGGGAGAGACCAAGCAAGACGCAGTGTGTGAGTGAACCACTGAGACGGCCAGCGATTGCTCAGTACCCTTGTGCGCGCGTAGGCAGGCCGTATCAGAAAAAAATCCCCCTCCACCCCTCTACAAGCCAGAATAGATGCACACCAAAAAATCCCCCTCCACCCCTCTACGAGCCAGAATAGATGCACACGAAGCTGTTCGCATGGCCTGCGGATCTACAAGAAATAGAGAAGGATGGAGGGGAGGCAGGATGGATGGGGGAAAGGATGGCTAGAAGTAAGGAAGGGAATAGGGATAGGAGGGAGAAAGGAAGGATGGGCATGTTTGCAGCAGTCGTCCATGCGTGCTGAGCTCCTATGAACTTCTGCAAAGTCGTAGATTGTGCCAACGTAACCCTCGGTGCTAAGCGTGGGCGACGGCCGCTTGCTGTACCTGTTGCGAAAGCGCTGGTGGTATCCTGCTTGCGAGCGAACTGCCCGATGAAAAGCTTTCTAAACTGATCGAGGAAATACAGGAAGGCGAGCTCGAGAGTCTCGGGTGCCTCTTCGCACTTTGTTTCCTCGATCAGCGTCAACACCAACTTGGACAGCCCTGCGTTCGCCATCTGCACGGTTTCTGAGGAGGCGTCTGTGTTTGCAGGCAGCATGCACATGCGCACAAACGTCAACGTCCCATACGTGCATCACCGTGCAGCATGCATCTCTAGAAGCCTCCAACCAGCCACAGACACCTTCATGGACACACACGCCCCCTTTTCGATGCGAAAAGCTGTGCGCTGTCTGTGCTCCTCGAAAGAAGCCAGTTGGCACGTACGAACGTCGCCAACTGTTGATTTCTCAAGCAAGCGTTCTTCCGTCAAAAACATGCACAACACATCATGCGCATGCGCTAAAGCTCAAAAGCTGCAGCCCTTTGCTCTCTGAAAAAAACCAATGCGTGTAGAGACACCCGAGACTTTGCCCACCCTCGACATGGACATCGGGGAGTCTCCCCGTCCAGTTGCTGCCAACAAGAGCTCCAATTAAATACACCAGCCACGTGATCTTCTCCTCGAAGACTTTTCGGTTGATCTCGCCGCTCTGAGCCTTGGCTTTTGTTTCCTCGAATAACTCGTGCACCATGCGCGCGGTCTTCGTGTAGCGACACCTCGCCAGCTGCGACAACACCTCCAGCTGCTCCTGCCGCAGCACCTCGTTGTTTAAAGGACTCTCCCAGTCGCAGTTGTCTGCGCAGCAGCACTCTCGCAGGCAGGCACTTCCAAACGCGCCTCCTCACGCTACAACAAGGGGTCTTGCTGCTGGCGAAGCCTCAGCCGCTGCCCCCCCCTCCCCCCCTTACGACACAACCCGTTACAACAACTCCCAGACGCTAGGGAGCCTACAGAAACTCCCCAAGACAAAAATAAACTCCACGTTTTGCGAACTGACTGGATGTCCATCCACCGTGGACGTGCAAAAAGCCAACCCCGGCCGCACACTACGTGCAAGCGCTGATCCTTGCACAACAAAAAGCCTCAAGGCGCCACATGCAGCGAGAGAGAGACTCGCTAGCAGCCTTAAAAGCGCCGTAAGCGCAATCTAAAATCCTTATTTCCAATGCCTATCCTGGGCATCCGTAGCAGAAGGGGGGCCTCCCCCCCTAGCAGCTAGCTGCTGCGTGTCTGTCTGTACGTCTATATCTATCTGTCCATGCATGCATGCAAATGTACATATATACATATATATATGTATGGCGTAACGCCAGAACACACACACATGAAACACGCTATCAGCAGAGCTGGCCCTCTGCTTCAGCCTCTCTCTACCGCGCTTTCTCTGTCTTGTTCTGCCTTACCGGCGTCTTCTGCGATGGCTTCCGCTACGCACATGCGACTCATGATGAATGCAGCCGTAATTCTTTCAATGTACAGCTCGAGGTCCTTAGGAACTCGCTGTTTGTAGAAGAGGAGCGGCGAAATCATATGCGCCCATACCCCTAGGAGGTAGTGCTTGCTGTTCGGCATGCGCTGCCACGACTTGAGACTCTCCATGGTGAAATCGAAGAGGTGTTGGGGAAACTCTCTGAAAGGTTCCGACGCGCAAAGCTCGCTGAGATGGTGCGAGGTATTGACTTTTCCGATAAGGCGGCAGAATTCGTGGTAACACATGTCATCTGTCAGACCCGTCCTCGTCTTGATGATCTGGAAGGTTCCCAGGATCAGCTCGCCCATATACTTGTTGCGGGTGGCTGTGGTTTCGAAGAAGGATCGACGAAATGCAGAAATCAGCACCAGACACGACAAACAAAGCCTCGCGCATTCTACACGGGGCCTATGTGGGGTCTTCTGCCAGCAGGCGTTGTAAAGGCTGAAAAACATCCTAGGAAACGTCTCCTCTCTGAAGTCGCTCCAGCCTTGGGGAATCATCACAGTGTTTTGTTCGTCCGTGGTGTCGTCTGCCATGGTCCCCATGAAATCGAAAGAGAGACAATTGAGCGCCAGCTGCAGCACTTGCTTCAGCAGTCGCGTCTCCTCCTCATCGTTGGGAACTCGAATAGCTCCTGCATCGAATTGCTGCAGTGTCTTTACCGCAACCTGCAGAATTGACGGTAGAGCTATGTCTCGAAAAGAAAAAGCCACCCTACGGAGACGCGACATGTGCGACCCTATCTTGGGTTGCATCTCTTGCGTCAACTCCGTGTAAATATACAAACCTACTACCCAGTGAGCCGTTGATGCGCTCAAGAACAAACCAACCTGCTCCAGAATTTTCTGTATCATCCGCACAAAACAAAGATACATAAATAGTTGAGGAATAGAGACAGATACATCAAAAATTGATGGGTAGAGACAGATGCACTAGATGGTAACATACACAGACATACAGATGCACTAGATGGGTAGAGACAGATACACTCGATGGATAGAGACAGAGACATTGCTAGCTAGACCAATACATACATAGAGATCACAAAGCTAGCTAGGCCAATACATACATAAATACACAGGCACATCGACAGACAAGCACGTAGACAGACAGACAAAACATGTTTTATGACACACGGGCAGTCGCTTTTCCGAGCGACGGGAAAGAAACAAGAACTATCCCGCCAGGCATGCGCAATCGACATGTCATATCCGAAAAGCCCCTTTGCAGCTGCAAAATTTCCGCCGGATGTGCAGTTGCTGGACGCTTTTGCGCCTTTGCGCGAGAGAAGTCGCTGCCGCATGCGCGTGCCTCCGAAGCGTGTAAAAATCGGTGAAACTGTTTGTAATATGTAAGCAGCGGCATCTGGTGTAAAGAGCTCACCTTATCCACGTCTTCAAACCATGAGAGTTTGACAATGCGGCAGAGCAGGCGGATGAGGTGCCCCAGGATTTCATGGGCGTTGTGTAGGAGGTCAGCGCTACGCTGATACAGGTAATTCAGGAGGAAATTTCGCGTTTCTTCCTTTTGTTTGTCGGAGATCTGACCCCAGTAACGCGTGAAGAGGTTCATAAGCCCTGAACTGGCGAAGAGCAAGGCCTGTAAGTTCGAAGAGTGCGCGAGGACAGCCTGCAGCCTCGGCATGTTTTCCGGGTTGTTCACGAGAGGCAGCAGCACCTTGTGCGCTTCGTTTTGCTCCTCCTTGCTGCCACCTCCATAGAAGGCCTGACACAGCAGTTCGAGCTGCTGCACTTCGGCGAGATCCGCCATTGTTCTACTGCTGCGAGTGAGCGGGGGGGAATGCGAAAGAGACACAAGACGATCTGGCCTACTGAGGGGGTTTTCCCATGGCACTCGAGGCTTCGCAGAAAGAAAGCAATCCGAAGTTGGTGCCGCTGGTAGGAAGGGGGAGGAGAAGGAGAGGCGAGGCTCTGATCAGGGGCTGGTGGGCGCCCTTTGCATGCTGGGAGTGGAGTGGATGCAAAAGTGCTTGGAGGCAGCCACTTGTGGGAAGCGGCGGAGTCTTAGCCTCGAGCACTCCGTCTGTCGGTGATTCGTGCTGATTCTGGCTGCACTGTCCTTGGAGCAGAAGAGGCGAAGCGACACTTTTGCGGTTCCGGAGGATACTTCCTCGGCACGACCGCCCCCTGCCGTCAGCAGCGTGTGCCCGTTATCTGTGCCGCGGGGAGGCCTTCAATAAACGCTAGGCAGGACGAGGGGGCCCTTAGATCCAGAAGAAGAAGAGGCCCTCCTGCGTAGGCCAGGACAGGGCGGTAGTAGTAGTACACGCGATAGGAAGCGCTGCAAAGCGAGGGCATACGCGGCAGGCGGGAAGGAAGGGGAGAGGAAGCCCCCAGAAGAGGACGGCGAAGAACAAATAGAGAAAATAGGCAAAAAAGAGCTCAAAAACACAAAGCAGCACTACTGTGGCGCCAGTGTTGTGGGAGAAAAGTTAGTTGTTAGGGGTTCAGGTTCGGCTGGCGGGAGCGTCACGCCGCCACCCCCCTAGCCGTGCAGCCATAAAATCAGATTTTATTTCAGGAATAAAGCCGTGAATATACAGAATGCGCAGCGCTGCGCAAGGAGAACTCTGCAAGACACGGCGCATGCAGCATTCCGCCTCGCATACGAATTCCCACGCCGCAGCCCTCGGCGGAAGGGTGCTTGCTGGATGTGTAGCGCCTCCGTTCGCTGTGGCAACAAATGGGCCCTTCCGAGGCCCTTCTCATGACTATTTATCTTGGCAATTTCCTCTAGGAGGGTTCTGATCTTCTTTGGCGCTTTCCGATAGTTGCGCCATGCAGCCTTGTGGAACGTTGTCACTTTGCAGAGATCTCCGCCACTGAGATGTGCAAGGATCGACTGCACGAGCAGCAAGAGCTCCGTCCTTCATAATTAGGTAGAGTGGAGTGAGTCCGAACTGATTAGTTTTGGGAAGCGCCAGGAAAGAGCTCGCTTGCGGCTCTACAGCACACATTCAGCCCTAGACCAGAGGTTGCCGAAATGGCCGCATCGTGCCGCATGCAGGGGTAGAGAGCCTCATCGGTCTCTCTGCCAAGCCTGATTTGTTGTAAGGGGAATGCTACACTTCATAAACAGCTGGAATGCTGACACCCTAGACGGTGGCTTAGTCCATAGGCACACACAGCCAGCCCAAACTTCCCTCTCCCAAAGGGTGCCATTTATTTGGCTGCTACCAGCCGCTTTTTTTTCATGCGCGTGCTCATTGTCGTGCTTCCTTCCCTTTGATGGATGCACCAGCCAAGGCTTACTTTGCGTCGTTCGTCTCTTTCGTGTGAGGGCCTTGCAGTGTTTCGCTATAAGTGGCAACAATGGGGCTTAACCCAGGAAAATATGCGTTGTATACGGCGTCCTCTCGAGAATTCTTGAACGGAGATGTTCCATAAAAGTGGCTGCATCGGGGGTTACAGTTCTTCGTGTGAAATGCTTCTCCTGGCTTTCGTTGAGATGCTCGCGAGCTGCACCAGCCGGTGCAGAGGAACAGGGAGTAAACAGTGGTGTACCTCTTGCCAGAGACTGATCTCCGGCTCCTTAAGATGAGCGAGGTTCGGGTGAAACTAGGGAAAAGGGGCTGTTCTTCCGAAGCAGCTGCACAGAGCAGTCTTGTGTGTTCACCTGGCGCAACGACGTCTTCTTAGCCCCCTTACGATACGAGGGCCTTGGTATTTTATGTCGGATGGACAGAACATGCACGCGCTTCCAACTGCATGACACTCTCTTTAGCCTTTTGTGTTGCTTTAAGCTTGGAATGGACACAGAATCAAGGCCTGGGTCGCCTTTGCAAGCTGAAAGCACCGTTGGTGCTTCTACTTTCAGGGACAAATAGAGCCTTGATCAGCGGGGGCGTGACGCAGTTTGCTGGAAAGCCTTTTGGGGAACGATGGCTATGAAGTCTTACACCGTGTTACATTGTTTCCAGGCGAGATACACCCATGCCGAGACACCGCACTGCAGGCAGTCCTTCGGACGTTTTGTGCGTCCTTCATGTAGCGCGGCCACCCTCGTGCAGCCTTGGGATTTGGTGAATCCTGCCACTGCCCTCTGGTGCCTTAAAAGACGCACCTGACACGTGACGTGGCTCTCGATGCCTTCCTGCTTCGGAAGGTATACGAAGCAAGTGGCTAGCTCGCTGCCCCTAGTGAAGTATCGAGGTGTACTTTTAGTTCAGTAGGATGGAGACTGATGGCAAGCAGCGGGCGCCTTGACGTTGGCTGTATATCTTGTTGCTCTTGCAAATTGGACGTTGGGCTGTCTCAGTTAGCATAGATAGTGCCTAGTGTTTCCGCTTGTCACGCGAGAGACCAGGGTTCAATTCCCGCAGTTTTGGCTTTTTGCCCACTCTCCTTTGCGGGGGATGCATAGTACGACTTTGGCTTGGCAGCAGCTGCTACGGCGCGCACAGGGATGATTGTAGGTAGGGGGGAGCAGCCAATGCGCCCTCGTTTGTTCATGGCTGAAGGGCCAGCTCCTTTCGGAGCTTGCAGGACAGGCGGATGCACTTCCGCAGACACATGGCGTTTTCTGCAGTGCATCTCGAGTGGAGCTTAGTGCGCTACACGCGTAGTTAGAACATCAGAAGCCTGGCTTCCCCCACAGAGACGCCGCAGCGTCTCTGCCTCTCTTAGGCAATACCAGTGCGCAAGTTGTTAGACGCGAGCGAGAGTAGCTAGCTCGGGGTTGCGTGTCTTCCCGTCGATGAAGATTTTTTTCGCAACGCGTGAGGCTTTCCAGCAGCAACGACGAGCGCAGTGGTCAAGGGGTGAGACTACTAAGACTAGAGAGGGACTCGTTTCGACCGAAATCACAGTCTTCTAAAGCTGGCGTCAGGCGTGTTGTTTCTTCTCGCCTGCCACAGGCCTGGCGACAGGCAGGGAAGCAGGAAAGGAAGGGTCTTACGCGCGAGCCTCGTACAGACGGCGAATATGAGCTTCCTCCGTGGAAATTCCCGTGACTGGACAGTGGTGGTGTCTGCGCACGAAGAGGACGATGCAGCGGTAGCAGAAGACGAAGCCGCTGGGAATGCAGGCGGCACCCTCCCTCGGAAAGCGACACAGAGGACAGATACGGGGATCCTGCGAAGAGCGCATCACAAACGATCTTGTGCACAGCCAGAGGTGTGAAAACTTGGCTTGAGCACAGACGCAGACTACAGCATAGCTGCCTTCGCAGACTACAGCACAGCTGCCTTCGCAGACTGCAGCATAGCTGCCTTCACAGACTGCAGCACAGCTGCCTTCGCAGACTGCAGCATAGCTGCCTTCGTGGATTACAGCATAGCTGCCTTCACAGACTGCAGCACAGCTGCCTTCGCAGACTGCAGCACAGCTGCCTTCGCGGATTACAGCATAGCTGCAGGCAGCGAAGAGAGCTCTACACGGGAGAGAATGCGCCGCGGGAGGAAAACGTTCCAGCAAGCAGCCTACCTGCGGGAGGGGGTGCAGTGGCTTTACTCCGGATGGTCGTGGTGGAGGGGGGGGAGGTCTGATGTCGTCTTTGCGGACGAAAGGCGGCAGCAGTGTGGCTTCGTATTCGAACCACCATTCTAAGGCCCTTAGCAGGAGAAGCAGCGCTACCAGCCCACTTCGCATGCGCTGCGCGCCGCCTTCCGCTACAGCAAGCCACCAAGGGAGTTTCTTGCGAGCAGCAGCAGGCGTGGCAGCTTCTGCTGCTGCGTCGGGAGAGGCGCGCACATACACCAGGCGCAGCAAGTGCATGTAGGGCGACCAGTAGGGGAAGGCAACAGGATCTGCGAGGTACAACAGGGAGTAGACGAAAGAAACGAGGTCGCTGCACAGCGACAGGCGGGGAAAGGCTCGCACCAGCCTCTCCCACACGCAGCGTCGCAGCCACTGCCGCAGCTGCAGCAGTCGCAGTAGCAGTCGCAGCAGCAACACGCGCAGCCGCAGCCTGCAGCAACGAAGCCACCACTCCAGCCTGTCTCTCCAGGGAGTCGTTGACGCCTTGAGGAGCAGCAGCAGAGCTCTACTGCTGTCAGAGTCGCTAGAGCTGCTCGGAGGAGTAGTCAGCTCATACGGCAGGGAGGAAGACGCGGGCGGGGGAGTTTCGCTCTGCAGCCTTAGCTCCGCTTCTGCTGCTGCTGCAGCGAGAGCTGCCTCGTCTACGCGCGCAGCAGCAGCAGCCTCCGCGGCAGCAGCTGCTGCTGCCTCTGGAAACTCCTGCTGCTGCAGCTGATAGGCTTGCTGCAGCTGCCGTCGCATGTACGGCAGCAGCACTTCCACTGCGACGCAACACGCTATCTTGGAGGGAGGCAGCGACCTCAGAAGGGTAGTTGCAAGCACCGCTGCCTCGTTGCTGATCTGCTGCTGCTGCTGCAGAAGCTCTACAGGGAGCTGCAGAGAACCGCCAGCTGCACTATTGGCCGTCTGCATCCCCTGCTGCTGCCGCTGCTCCTCCTCTTCCTCCCTAAGCGCGATCTCCGAGCTGCTGCTGCTGCTGCTCCCCCTGCGCGCATGCGGCGCACTGAGCTGCGGAAAATTCAGACGGCGATGCAACGAGAACAAGCGGCAGTCCTCCCGACGCATGCAGTAGAACCCCTCCGCGAAAGAAGCCCCCGTGGAGGCGAAGCTGTGCGTCTCGACAGCCGTAAGCAGCAGCAGATACAGCACATCGAAGTGTCGCTCGATCCATCGAAGCACCGCTGCAGCGTCAAAAAGCGCCAGCAGGCGACGGACGGCTCGAGGCTCTGCCGAGGCTGCTGATGCGCTTGCTGCTGCTGCAAGGCGAGACAGTCTCCTCCACAGCCACGCGAAAAGCCGAGAACCGCTGAGCAGCCTCAGCTGGGGAGACTCCACAGTGCTTGCAGCGTACAGCTGCCGCTGCTGCTCTGCAGCTGCCACTGCAGCGACTGCATTCTGCAGTTCGACGGCAGGGGTGGCAGTTGCAGACGCGCGCTGCTCCGCGGAGAGCCTTGCTGCTCCTGCCGCTGCTGGGAGCTGTCTTGCGTAGAAAGACTCTAAAGTGACAACACAGTGTCTCAAGGCTGCATGAAGTCCATCCAGAAGTTTTTGCTGCGCGAGAAGCTCGAAGAAGGAACCCTGCTGCAGCAACGCCGCTCTCCGGAGTAGCGTCTGCTGCCGTCGCAGCACATTCTCATCGTCTGCGACGACGCCTAAGGTCCTCGCTGCAAGGCGTCTGAGGCTGGCAGCCTTCCTCGCAGCGGAGGCTGCGGCAGACGCGATTGCTGCCGTTGTGTCAGCCTGCTCCTCCGGAAGCTGCTCGTAGAGCGCCGTTGCGAAGGCATCCTGCGTCATCGCGCCGGCAGCCTCTGCAGAGCAAGCGGGAGAAAGCGGCGGCTCGGTTTGGAGGCTCCCTACCCTTCCCACGAGGGGAGAGATGAGAGAAAGCCGTGAAGCTGCTCAACAAAGAGGGGACTGTCCACCGGCTTATTCGGCATGTAGGAAGGGCTCTTCAAAACCAGCTCTAAGAACAGCGAGGCGTAGATGTGCTGGAGGGCGTCTTGCAAATAGGGAACCTCCGGCGACGTGAGACATGCGAAGCCGTAGCCTGTTGTCGTTTCTAGATAATGCAGCTTGTAGTGGGGTGTCGCAAAGGAGTTGAAACTGCTGCTGCTGCTGCCTGTGGGGTTGGAGGGGCCTACCTGCTCGCAGAAACGCCGCATAGAGTAAAGCAATCCAGAAAGAAGTCGTCCTGTCTGCTGCTGCCGCCTCGTGAGAGGCCCCCAAGGGCACCCCGCAGTCAGAGTGTCGAAAGGAGATCCTCGCACGCTGCTCGTCGCGCGGTGGTGAGCTGTGGCTGCTGTGGCTGCTCCCGCCGTCTGCTGCGCAGATCCTGCCGCAGTCCGCTGAGGATTTCCGCCGCTGGGGAAGCCGGCGGCAGCCTGCTGGGCTGCAGCTGCTGCACCCCGTGTAGAAACCCCCTTCGCGCTGCTCGTTTCCCTTTGCTGGAGTGCCACTGCGCCCCCCGCTCCAGAGTCGGCGGCGGAGCCAGGCAGGCCCGTTGTGTTTCTCGGGGGGTACTGGGCAATGAAGATACAGCGGTTTCTGTGAAAAATGAAGACCGAGTAAATCATTTTGATAGCCGCGGCAGGGGTTGCTTCTGCCGCTGCCGCAGCAGCCGCCGCTCCTTACGGCCGCTGTGTGGCAATAAGCTCGAGCTCGACGCGCAGCCTCTATTTTGCAGCCTCCTCCTCCCTCTTCTGCTCGCTCAAACTCTCGCGGCGGCTCCGCCGACTGCGCGGCAGGTACAGCAGACGGGGTGTACAGACACCTCGAGACGCCTCCAGCACCCGCGCCTACCTACACAGGGGAAGCGGCGGTGCAGACTGCGGCACCAGTCGCAGCCGTAGCCGCCGCAGGAAACGCATCCACGAGAGACAAAATCCCCATTCATAATTCGAATTTTAACCTTGCATATCTCTTATTTAGCGCGACTCCGTCTCACCTTCCCAAGCCACCCCCCCGAACAGCCCCGTAGAGCAGACAGCCGCTCTAAAGGGAGGCGGCTGCTGCTGCTCCTGCTGCTGTTCCCGGTGTTTTCGGAGAACAATCAGCACCAACATCCTGCATGCACGGAGGGAACCTCAGGAAATCGCTCTCCGTCCTGCGCGCTAGAAACACCCCAGCCCACAGAAGCCTCCTCGCGGCGTAGCCGACTGTCTGCCATGTGGCTGCTGCTGCTCTCGCAGCAGCAGCAGCGCGGGCAGGCAGGAGCAGCAGCTGCAGCGCGTGCGGCATAAAGGCCTTAGTGGATGCGACAAGGCGGCAAAAGGCGCCATTGCCAGCACATCGGCGTCTATGCTGGCAGCACCTGCTGCACGGAATCCTGGGAGCAGCAACAGCGGGAGGGAGCACCAAGAGCAGAAAACAGACAGACTCAGCGCTTCGCCGAAGAACGCAGCACAAACGCCTCTGCCCTTGGTGTTTATAAAGGGAGGGACGAGCAGCAGCAGCAGCTGCAGCTGCTGCTACAGGCGCAGCAGGGATGGCGCCTCCTGCATTGTTTGAGAGTACCTTGCAGCAGCAGCAGCAGGAAGACGACGAGCAGCAGCAGCAGCAGGTAGAAGAAGGTTTCCCTCTAGCGAGTGGAGCGTCCCTCCGCCGGAGGCAGCGGGGTCCACTTGCCCCTACAACAACAACAACAGCAGCAGCAGCAGCAGCAGCAGGAGCCCAAGTGCCAACCCCGACCGCTGTGGGGAAGAGCAGCAGCAACAGCAGCAACAGCAGCAGCAGCAGCAGCAGGAGCAGCAGCAACACAAAGGGCAATGACTTCACAGCCCCCCAGCCTGCCCTGTGGCAGTCCATGCAGTCGAAGCAGCAGGATGGTCATGTGTTGCTGCCTTACTTGACCGTTCCAGCAGCAGATGCAGCTCAGCACAGCCGAGCTTTTGGCTTGCCGCTTCCCTCCCTTTCTGTTGTGCGTTCTGCTGACGAAGGTGTCTTCGCCGCTCCCTCGCGAGCAGCCCAAGCAGCAGCGCGCCCTCCAGAATCGGTGACAGTTTCCTCTTCTGCAGCTTCTATTCTGTCTCCTGGAGCCCCCCCCCCCCCCTACGTTTGCTGCTTGGGGGCGCCGAGCAGCAGCAGCAAGCTGTGGAGTCTGCAGCAGGAGCAGCAGCAGCAGCAGCAGCAGCAGCAGCAGCCACCCTTCGCATCTGTAGCCGTTCTGCGGTGTATCTCTTGGCTCCAGACGAGCCCCTTTGGAAGCCTCTCTCGTGGGAGTCTTCTGGAGGGCTTCTTGGTGTTTTTGGGGGAAGCCTTGAAGGAGATCTTTGGCAGTGTCTCTCCACTCCCGCAAGGCTCTGCTGCCTTCGGCGGCTCTGCAACGCTTGAGTTGCAGCGGATTTTACGCGTGCTGTCGTCTGCGGCTGCTCCGAGGCGTTTTCTCGCATGCCTGCTGCCCCACTCCTTTGTGGCAGCCGTGCAGTCTCTTCTGCAGCTCGCGACGGGGAGAAGAAGATCTCGCCTGCAACTCCAGCGCTGCGGAGGAAGCTTGTCGCTTGCAGTAGCAGTCCCCAACGGGCTGTTGCTGCAGCAGCAGCAGCAGCACGCAGAGCTCCTTCCCCACTGTGTGTGCATTGCGGATGGCTGCAGCAGCGAGGGAAGAAGCCGCCTCATCGACAGCGGAGGCTGCCTCTGTCTGACAGCGGCCCCCCTGCCCGCTGCTGCTGCAGCGACTTGCGTGTACAGGCAGCAGCTGTCTGTGCATGCAAGTCAGCAGCAGCAGCAGCCTCCAAATTGGCAGCCACGCCGTTACGAGCAACTTTTGCTCGGCAGCACGGCGCACGATCGTCTGGTGCTGAGTTGCGGTCAGTCAGACTCCCTCGCAGACGCCTTGCTGAATCCGCAGCAGCGAATTCCTCCCAGCGCCAGCAGCAATGGCAGACCGTGCCGCAGTGTCTGTTGTGCGCTGTTTCTTGGAGGGGGGGAAACTGCGGCGTCTACGAAGTCGCCAGGGGCGGCCGTCCATCTGCTGCTCGCGTATTCCGACGGCTCCTTGCAGCTGCTGCGGCAGCGCAGAGCTGCGTTCGCTGCTGCTGCAGCCGCCTCCCTCTGGAGCGGCAGCGGCAGAAGCTTTCGTTCCCGCGCGGCTCTTCCGCAAGCCTCCGAGACGCCCCCGCGAGACGACGGCACGTGGTGCGAAGTGTGGAGAGATGCCTTCGACCTCCCTCTGGAGCGTCTCTTCGTAGTAACGCCTCTGCCCGACGGAGGAAGAGGTGTCGGCAGCTGCTGGGAATGCTTCAGCGGTCCCCTCGTCTGCTGCTGCAGCGCAGGGGGACTGGCGTTCTGCTTTCCCGAAAGCGAGGGGTGCGAATACACCCCGCCGTCGCATCGTCTTTTCCCACCCTCCACCCTCTTCGGACTGCGTGCCTCTCTTGGGGGGCATCGGCGCGTCGCTGCTGCCGCTGCCTTCTCCCCCAGCAGCCTCGCCGGAGCTCCCAGCACATGCATCGTCGTGGTCAGCAGGAAAGGCCTCGTTGTGCTGCAGCAGCTGCGCTTCCATCCAGAGGCTTCTCTGCTGCTGGGATCACCTCCCTTCTCGCTTGCCCGAGTGTCGCGTCTGTCTCTGGGAGCTGCAGCAACGGCGGCTCTCAGCGAGGGGAGCCGCGTCTTCCTGCAGTCCTCGGAGGGCTTGCGGTGTCTAGTGCTCGGCGTGGAAGGCAGCAGCAGTGTGTTTCTCGTGGGCTTTGCAGCCGCGGGAGAGCTCCACAGCAGCAGCAGCGGGAGCGGCGCCTGCAGTGGCGTGGGAGGAGCCGTGCTCGCCGTCGTCTCGCGGAGCCTCTTTTTCCTTCCTTTGAGGCCACTTTTTTGCCGTCGGAGGCATGGCTCGCAGCGGCTCCATCCGCAAGGCCATAATCCTTCTTCCCTCCTGCTCCAGCAGCAGCAGCAGCAGCAGCAGCAGCAGCAGCTCGTAGGCTTTTGCGTTGCGTGGCAGTTGCCACGGTCCATCCGCGGCGCTGCTGCCTCGGCAACGGACGCTGCGCCAGCGGGGGCGAAGTGCGGGATGAAACAGCAGGAAGTTGGATGCATCGAGTCAGTTGCAGTCATGGAAGACCTCCTTAGTGGCCTTTGTTTTGTCGCAGTGGCTGCATCGGAATGCTCCGACGTGCTTGTGTTCTGTTGCGCCTTCCCCGCGCTGCAGCAGCAGCAGCTGCAGCAGCAGCAGCCCAATCACCCGCAAAAACAGCAGCAGCAGCAGCTTTTCGGAGGGGTGGACCTCTGGAGAGGCAGCGCAGCGCTGCGTTATCGGCTGCAGCCCATAAGCCCCCATTGCAGAGCTTCGGGGATGGCCTTTTTGGAGAATCGCCACGGCAGCACCAGCGGCAGCGGCGGTTTCAAGCAGCAGCAGCACGTGCTGCTGGCTGTACGGTGGGCGCTGCCTACTGCCTCGCCGCCAGGAGTCTCTTGCAGCTCCCGAGAGTGGGTGACGGTCGGAGTGTCTCTTTACGCGCTGCATGCGGCGAGTGGAGTGGCCGCTTCGACTCTGTGGGGCATCCCAGCGCCTTCGTACCTGAGGGGGTGTTTTCTGCAGCAGCCGAGGCAGCTGTTTCTGCAGCAGCCGCTCTCGTACACCCCCCCCAGGGGGACTGCTGCAGCGCGAGAGGCAGCTGCGGATTCCCTGCTGCTGCTGCAGCAACAAGGCGAGATGCCGCTGCTGGCTGGCAGCGGCAGCAGCCCCTCTCTGCAGCAGCAAGGCTTCGCGAACTGGGGATCTCTCTGGAGCTCTGGAAGCGCATTCGCCGGCAGGAGGCCTCCTGCGGAGGAGGTTCTCATGGGCAGCGTCGTAGGCGGGTGGGGTGCAGCGGCAGCAGCGGCAGCAGCAGCCGATCCCTTTGTACTGCTGCAGCAGCAGTCGCCGTACGACGACAGGAACGGACTGCAGCAAACGCAGCAGATCTCTGAAGGCGCACGGAGTGTGGGGTTGCTGGGTGTGGGCAGCAGCAGTGGGGCCGCAGCGGCTGTCGCCGCTGCTGCTGCCGCCTCTGCACGGAAGCAGCAGCAGCAGCAGCAGCAGTGGCAGGCGCTGCACCGTCTGGGGTACGGACAGCGGCTGCTGCTGCACGAGCAGCAGAAGGAGCAGCTGCGGCAGTGGCAGCAGCGGCACGTGCAGCAGCAGCTGCAGCGGCCCTTCGGGGGCGACTTTCGCCTTGGTGCTGCCGCAGCAGCAGACATCGAGTTGTTTCCTCCCCACAACTCAGCGGCAGCGGCAGCGCTGCAGAGGAGAGCTCCTTGGGCAGTGGCTCCCATGGCTTCTCGATTCCCCGTGAGACGGCGACTGCTGCCGCACAGACGAGACGAGCCGTACCACTTGCCGTCGTCGCATCGTGGCAGAGGCGGCATTTCTGCCGCCGCCCTGTATGGCCAAGCAGCCAACCGCCACTGGCCCTCAAGGGCCCCCCTCTTTCTGTATGGGGGAAGAGGGTTGGCGGCTTCCTGGATGCCGCAGGAGAGCCTCTTCGGAGGTGCTGCTGCCCCCGAGTTTATGGCAATTGACGCAAGAAACGGCGCTTTGCCGAGTGGGGAGGGGGGGGACGCAGAGAGCGGAGGCTTGCTGCCCATGCAACAAGACTCTTGGGGGGCGGGGGGGTCGTTTGTGTTCTAGTGGGAAAGCGCGTCGGAGGGAGGGATGGGGGGAGGAGAGAGGAGGTCTTGGCTTTTCTTGCCTCCGCTGGCGCCACGGAGGGAGGGCTTTGGGGGAAGAGGGGGAGGGGCAGGGGAGCTGTAGGGTACTGAACCTGCGGCTGCCAGTTGTAGTGTGTGGGAGCCTGCTATAGTTGTGAAATCGCGAGCGTCAGAGGAGAAGGGGGAGGGGAAGGGGAGATCCTCTGGCCTGGGCTGCAGCAGCACTTAAAGAGCAGCAGGCGAGGCGCCGCAGGGGCCACTGTCTCTCATGCATGTGCTGCACTGCCAGTGATCCGGAGACAGCGAGAGCAGCAATGGATCATAAATAAGGACTCTCTGCAACTACACTCGCGAGAGGGCCCAAGAACAGAGGAACTGTGTGGCTGAAATAACCGAGAGAGAGAGAGAGAGAGAGAGAAAGAGCTTTGCACACGCGGAGCGATAGCTGAGGCTGCGCGTGTTCGCACCCGCATCCTGCACCTTGAAGGTGCAACAGGAGATTATACACAGGGAACCGTCTAGCGGTCCTAGCTAGCACTTTTTCAGTCAAGTGCTAGCCACAGTCTGAAGATGTAGTGCCACCGCGTGCAACTGGAGATCGCAAACACTCTGTCCCCGCGAAAGGGGCAGGGCCCCTCCATGCTTTCCTTCCTTAGCCTCTCAACACAGTCCCCAAATGCAACGTGTATTAGACAGCAGAACAGAGTCTGGTAGATTACGAGGAAGCCAGCCGTGGTGGTCTCGTAGTACAACACGAAGTGTAACAGAATGCAGCAGCACCCATCAAGGCCAAATCTCGTCGCGACTAGAGCCTAAAGGGCACTCACTGCCCACTGCTTTTATATTACATGCCCGTCTTCCCCTCCTTCTCTGCGTGTATTCGTTGCCTGCCGCCATCCGTGGCCCTCTCCAACTACCGTCCCTCTTTTCGCCTCTAATTTCTTCCAGCGAACTGCCTCCCACTGTGGATCATCCTTCCATGTCTGCCAGGATCCTGTGCAACAGCACAGGGCCCTGCTGCAATTCTGGCTGGGCGACACTGAGAAGCACATTTCACCAGTCTCCAGTTATATGTCGCCAGGCATGCGCACAACAGAGCCGACTCGTTGGTTTGGGCGTTCGCAAACCTCAAATATTGGCGTTAGCCAGATGCAAGAAGACACACTGCTGTGTATGCACATATATATGTGTGTGTGGCGGGTAGAAGAAGCGGAGCCATAGGTTGCTATATGCTGTGCAACTAGCTGTGAATGCTTTCAGCGCTCAGAGAGTGCAGCTACGCGCAGGCACCTTTGCCGATTGCCTCTCTCTCTATCATACATCGAGAAATCAGGGTACCGGCTGGCAGAGGAAAGAGGGACTTCTTTTGAGAATCGCGCAATCTCTTTCGGCCCCTTTGTATTTAATAGTGTAAAGTGAGGTGTATTCTGCCTACAGAGACCTTGAAAGGAGATTGACACCCCGCACGCGCACTCGTGATCGCCTTAACGGCGGCGGGGCCATAGCCAAGGCTGCAGTAATTGTGTCGATTTCAGAAGCGCAATGAAAAAAAACGAACGGTAAAGAGAGGCCGCTGAAGATCCCCGACTGCCGGCAAGTGGCTGCTTGTGGCTGGCTGCACTGCACTGCACTGAGGAGCCCACAGGAGAAGCGTATAGTGCACGGGAAGTCCAACACAAAGAGGAAAACGGTTCGAAGAAGGATGTTCAGAAAATCCCTTTTGCGCGCGTCGGCTGTATAGCCAAAGAACAGTGCTGTCCGCAAAAAAGGGGCCTGAATGCATGTGCCACCATCGAGCGCAAAAGGGGTGCTGTGTGTGTGTGTGTCTGTGTGTGTGTGTGTCTGTGTGGCTGTGTTTGTGTGTGTGTGTGTGTGTGTTTGGGTGTGTGCGTGTTTGTGGCTGTGTGCGGTGCGGTCTGGGGGTGTCTCTGCGTTGCTGTGTGTATGTTTTTTGGGTGTGGCTGCTGCGCGGGCGGCGACTGCACCTTCTGCGTTTTGGCTTGCATTGGGGTGGCTAGCGGCTTCCTTTTGAGCTGGCGACCGGACTGCAGCTGCTGGCAATGCAACACTCTAATTTGGTGTCGGTTGCGTGGCGGTGAGTGGGCGCGGCCAGATTCCGGGCTCGGGTACCGCCGGGAC